CCGGCCGCCGCTTTGCTGGACACTCCCGTGAAAAGTGGCCTGCTGCTCCACAGTACCAACAGAGGTTTAAACGCTGGCGCCTGGCTTTCTCCGCAGCATCAATCTTGGGGCGGATGTGCCCCAACTGCATCGGCTCCTCCTCATCCAAACTTGCCGTGGGCGGAACTGGCCGGCTGAGTGCCCTGGGTCCAGGGATCGGGACACCCTTCGGGACCGGCCGTTCAGACGCTCCACGGGTCCACTGCCGCCTCATGTGTAAGTTACCATCCAGCCGGAGACTCAGAGTGATGAGACCATCGAGGGTGGCAGGAAGGTCCGCCACCCGCAACACTTCCCCTTGTAGTTCTGGGGTTAACCCTTCCAGAAACTGTCCACGCAAAGCCACATCATTCCAGCCCACTTGAGGAGCCAGGGCCTTGAATTCCGCAATATAGTGGGCCAAAGGCTTGTCTCTTTGCTGTAGCCTACGCATCTTGCGGTCCGCCAACTCCTGAGTCACCTGTCCACCCCACGTGCGTTGAAGGTAATCCAAAAAGGCTTGAGCAGAATTCACTTCAGGGGCGTTAGCATCAAGTAGTGTGGTAGCCCAAAGAGCCGCAGGCCCTTCCAAAAGGCTGAAAATAAAGGCTACTTTGTTTTCTTCTGTGGAAAATTCAGCCTCCCTGGCTGCCAAAAAGGAAAGACATTGTCTTTTGAAAACTCGAACCGCAGAGGCATCCCCTTTAAACTTGGTTGGCAGGGCTAATGATGGATGAGCCCCAGCCCTGGCTCTAAGACCTGCCAGTTCCTGTTGTTGAGTGGCATATAGAGCTTGCAATGCTTGGAAGTCTGCTACGGTGGGGGCCTGTGCTGGTGCTGCTGCAGGATTGGACATCCTGAAGAAATCCTGGTCTCAGCAGGGGAAACAAAATCACAAAGCCCAGAAAAATCAGCAAAAGTAATCCAAACAAAATCACAAAGCCCAGAAAAATCAGCAAAAGTAATCCTGGTGGAGTAGAAATCAAAGGGATGATGGGAGTTCAGGCATACTGTTGCAATCCAGAGCAGGGAACGAGGCCCTAAGATAACTATCCACCACACTTGGCTGTGAAAAACAATCCTTTTTTATTGAAGAAAAATGGTTACAAAATAAAGGAAAAAATGCAAGTCAAAAGCCACAGCAAAATCAGCAAACATGAATTTAAATGGACAAAGCAAAACCAAAAGCCTCACTGGGAAAATACTGGAATCTGTTAGCAATCCACTAACCGTACTTGATATCCTAGAAATCTTTCCAAACTATGGCCAGGGAACCGGGAGAACTGCCAAGGTCTTCATCAATTCTGAAACGATGCCTGAACTGAGGCAATCAGCCTGGCGTATTGCAATTAAAACTCAAGAATCGGTTCCGTGAACCGCCCTTCTGTTTTGAAGCCAATGTTTTTAATTCTTGAATTCGGGAGGATCGACACAAACTGAGTGTTTTACTTCTGTCTTCCCAAATTTGGCCCCTTCTGTTGTCATTACAGTTAACAGGTGCAGAAGGGAGGGAAAGTTCAAGGTCTCCCTCTGAAACATTCTCATGAACACTGGTACTTTCATTTTCCAAATCTACAGAAGTTCCTTCCTCACTAATTTCAGGAGCATTGGCATCAAAAGGTACATTTCCACTAGCATCAGTAAATATACTTTCATTAGCATCAGGAGGAACAAACAGAGAATCAGGTTCAAGTTCAAACTCAGGCTGAACCCTAAGGCCTTCGACAAGGTCCCCCATGACCTTCTGGCAAACAAACTAGTCCAATGTGGGCTAGGCAAAACTACGGTGAGGTGGATCTGTAATTGGTTAAATGGACGAACCCAGAGGGTGCTCACCAATGCTTTCTCTTCATCCTAGAAAGAAGTGACAAGTGGAGTGCCGCAAGGTTCTGTCCTGGGCCCGGTCCTGTTCAACATCTTTATTAATGACTTAGATGAAGGATTAGAAGGCATGATCATCAAGTTTGCAGACGACACCAAATTGGGAGGGATAGCCAATACTCCAGAGGACAGGAGCAGGATTCAAAACGATCTTGACAGAGTAGAGAGATGGGCCAAAACTAACAAAATGAAGTTCAACAGTGACAAATGCAAGATACTCCACTTAGGCAGAAAAAAAAATGCAAAGATACAGAATGGGGGACGCCTGGCTTGAGAGCAGTACGTGTGAAAAAGATCTTGGAGTCCTCGTGGACAACAAGTTAAACATGAGCCAACAATGTGATGTGGCGGCAAAAAAAGCCAATGGGATTTTGGCCTGCATCAATAGGAGCATAGTGTCTAGATCTAGGGAAGTAAAGCTACCCCTCTATTCTGTTTTGGTTAGACCACACCTGGAATATTGTGTCCCATTCTGGGCACCACAATTCAAGAGAGATATTGACAAGCTGGAATGTGTCCAGAGGAGGGCGACTAAAATGATCAAGGGTCTGGAGAACAAGCCCTATGAGGAGCGGCTTAGGGAACTGGGCATGTTTAGCCTGAAGAAGAGAAGGCTGAGAGGAGACATGATAGCCATGTATAAATATGTGAGAGGAAGCCACAGGGAGGAGGGAGCAAGCTTGTTTTCTGCTTCCTTGGAGACTAGGATGCGGAACAATGGCTTCAAACTACAAGAGAGGAGATTCCATCTGAACATGAGGAAGAACTTCCTGACTGTGAGAGCTGTTCAGCAGTGGAACTCTCTGCCCCGGAGTGTGGTGGAGGCTCCTTCTTTGGAAGCTTTTAAACAGAGGCTGGATGGCCATCTGTCAGGGGTGATTTGAATGCAATATTCCTGCTTCTTGGCAGGGAGTTGGACTGGATGGCCCATGAGGTCTCTTCCAATTCTTTGATTCTATGATTCCTAATGTTCAGATGGAATTTTTAAAAATATATTTAATAATCAATTTATTTGAAATCTCAATATCAGACCAAGACAGAGGTAAAATATGACTCATCCAGGACAATAGTACGGAGAAGGTACTCCTGGTACAGTTCGCCAGGCCGAACAGGGTATATTGTTTTTAATGCCCCCTGCTGTTTTGTGACGCGGGATCCGCTGACTCCCCCTGAAATACACGTATTTCCTGCTAAGCTTGGGTGTTTGTACTCTGGATATCGACTAAGCTTTGGTGACCCCAAGTTATCCAAGCGGTCCCTACAGAGGAAGCAATTTGCACAGAACCTATCTACAGGGGAATCTCGTCCGCCAGCTCCTGGGTACCTATCCTTGGGGAATATGTTTCCAGAGACTTGGCCAACATGTAGTGCCATGCCGCGTTGTCACATCCCCGCATGATTACTGCCAACGCGCTCATGGATCTCGTGGGGTTTGCACCTTGGAAGACTAGCCCGGAACTTCAGAATTGGTCCCCGTGTGACGCTTGCGGCAGCCAGGCTTGTTAACGGGTACTGGCAGCTCAGGGTAGCACACCACTCCACTGTTTAATAAAGCCACTTCCACTGCGCTGCCCATTTGCTACCGAAGCACAATTTCCCAAAGGTGCTGGCTTTAGCTATAACCTAGGCTTGTGGAGTTCCCCGGTCCCCACTTACCTGTATTCTCCGAACGCAATCCCCTCCTACGAACCGCGAGGAATGGCTAAGATGACGTCCTGATAGTAGGCCCTGCTTGCCTCGGTCCCTCCAGACAATCACAAGTGCGGCTGGCGGGATCGTGAGCGGGAGGAGGGATGTACAGGGCCTTTGCTCCGGTGGTATGGCCCCTCGGACTATGGAATGGTCCCTACCAATTGGGAGAAATCAGGCAGGGCCCCGCGCTAGTGGCGTTTAGGTGCGGGTTAAGTACATCTCCTGGAACTTCGATAAACCGGCCGTTCGGTTAAGCATAGCAAGAATAACATCTGACTCAGACGACGGCATACTGAACAAGGAATGGTAAAACGACTGTGAGATTTGGATCTGATTCTATTCGAGGCGTGATGACGTTATGTGTATTGTTTGTGGTTGTTTGTCATATATATTGTTCAATGTTGCACATTTTACTGTAAACCGCTTAGAGTCGCCGCGGCTGATATTTGCGGTATACAAAAGGAGTAAATAAATAAATAAATAAATTATTGAAGTCACAAATAGCTTGAAGGCACGCCAACAAACTTCATGTATGTGTTTCCAAATTCCCATCTGGCAGAATAAATGCAAATGGCGGAATAGTATGAATTCAGCTCAACCTTCTTTCAGTATCAACCTTCATTTACTTTAGTGATTGTTGGAGCAGGGATTGAGTTTGGAAGTTGCAACTGTGTTAAGTGGAGGCACAAAGGATTCTATGAAATAGGAACCATGTAGGAAGTTGCTTTATACCATTGGGTCATCTGGCTCACTATTAGCTACATTTACTGGCGATGTTCTTCCAGAGATTCAAACAGAAGTTCTTTTTCCCATCCCATATTGACATGCTGAGGATTGAAGCTGGAAGCCTATGCATCCACCACCAAAGAATTTCTGTATATGAAGTTTTCTTATTTAAGCATCAGAACCCATGTTGTCCAGTCTGATAGCAGCTCAACAGAGTCCTTCTAGGACACACTGCCTCTGATGCCGTTTGAAGGGAAGATGCTTGAGACTTAATCTGGAATGTATGAAATGCAAATGTGTAGTCTACCCTTTAGTTGTGGTCCATATACCACATAGTTTAGCAACCAATGTAGTAGACAAGTTAACGGTATAATGTCTTGCAATAAGCAGGAACCTATCTCTATATGGTAAATGCTAACTGTACTTTTCAGTGAACTCAAAATTATCGTTGCTAAATTTTGTTTTAAAACTGTTTGTAATTTTCAGATATTTATCCTTTCGTCAAGAGTTTGGTAGCATTTCTGCTCTCCGAATTTTCAGAGTACTGAGAACATTAAAAGCAATTTCTGTAATCCCAGGTGAGAACACGTGTGTGTGTGTGTTTATGTATGTATGCAACAACTACAGACCAATCTCCAACCTCCCATTTTTGGGCAAGGTTCTGGAGCGGGTGGTTGCCTCGCAGCTTCAGGGATTCCTCGATGACACCGATTTTCTGGATCGCTCGCAGTCTGGTTTTAGGCCTGGGCACAGTACCGAGACGGCTTTGGTCGCCTTGTGGATGACCTCCGAAGCTTGACAGGGTGAGTGTGACCCTGCTGGTTCTCTTGGAAATCTCAGTGGCTTTCGATACCATCGACCATGGTATCCTTCTGGGGAGGCTCTCTGGGATGGGACTCGGGGGCATGTTTTTACTGTGGCTCCAGTCCTTCCTGGAGGGCCGTTCCCAGATGGTGAAGCTGGGGGACTCCTGCTTGGACCCCTGGCCATTGACCTGTGGGGTCCCGCAAGGTTCTATTCTGTCCACCATGCTATTTAACATCTACATGAAACCGCTGGGAGAGGTCATCCGGAGTTTTGGAGTGCGGTGCCATCTCTACGCAGATGACACCCAACTCCACTAATCTTTTTCATCTCCCTCCAAGGAAGCCCCGAGGATACTGGACCAGTGCCTGGCTGCTGTGGTGACCTGGATGAGGAAGAACAAGCTGAGGATCAGTGCTTTGGGCTTGGCCTCATGTAAGCCGCACCGAGTCCCCATCGGGGAGGTGGAGCGGGGTACAAATAAATATTATTATTATTATTATTATTATTATTATTATTATTATTATTATTATTATTATTGGGATCATGTTCACAGGATAACTCAGACATGGGCAAACTTTGGCCCTCTGGAAGTTTTGGGCTTCAACTCCCACAATTCCTAACAGCTGGTATGCTGGCTGGGATTTCTGGGAGTCCAAAACACCAGGAGGGAGGAAGTTTGCCTATGTCTGGATATTTCTTTGCTCCGTCCTACACATAACGTGGGATGCTCTAACAGTGCCTCTCTTCCATGAGTTCCTTGTGGAGCAGACTTAGGACACTGGTGCTGCAGATCTATGAACATTGCTCCAGGCAAGGACCTATTTTGACCACACCGTTTTTCACAAACAGTGGTTTTGGGTGTGACACATGTGACACAGTATCTTAAGCTAACAGATGAGAAATATAATCAATATGGCTCTAAACTCCATTCTTCCAGTTTCCATATAATATTGGTTTCTATATAATATTTTTTGTTTCTTCTTCTTCATAGGATTGAAAGTCATTATAGCCTCACTTCTTCAATCAGTGAAGAAGCTCGCAAATGTAATGCTGTTAACGGTTTTTTTCTTGGCCGTCTTTGCCCTTGTTGGCCTCCAGCTTTTCATGGGCAACTTAAAATATAAATGTGTCCATCAAGATTTCATTAACAACAGCTCATGTTCAGGTAAATTATATATCTTTCTCTATGTGCATAGATATTTTAAATGTATTGTAAACCACTGACTCTCAAAATTTGGTCCCCCCAATTTTTTTTTTTTTTTGCAAATAATGTTAAGACTTTTGATACTTTCAGTGAAATGTAAAGTCAAGATATAAACTATGCACCTATATGATGAGAAATCTATGTTCTCTCCACAGGACACAGGAATTTTAGTGAAATAGCATACAACATAATTATGCTGCTTGGTTGTTCACCTGTTAAAAATCCTAGAAGTTCAATACATCAGAATGCTTCAGTAGAGTGCTTATGCTAAATCATCATTGTGGCAGCCCTATGACTAATCTGAGAGCCCTCCTCACCAATTTATAAATAAGTGATAACTATAGTCATTGTTTCTCAACATGGAGAAATGTTTTAATAACTTTTATTACTTTTGTTTCCAGGAAATTCCTTAATCTACCAGGAAATGAATGGTTCTTCTGATCCATTGTTATGTGGATACACTTCAGATCCTAAGTAATTAATATCCTTTAAAAGTTTAGACCAATTGTGGGGTGGGGTTTGTAAATAGAATCAGGACTGTATCATAGAGTCGTGTTTCCTTTATGTGCTGATACCAGTGAAAACCAGTCACTCTGTGGCTGACCTATGTTGATTGAGGAGCAAGATCAGAATGTGCTATTTCCCTGTATTTAATCTTAAAGATGGAGCTCATCTTATTTCCCCAGGTGGTCAGTGGTTTGCTCCTCTCCACACTCGCATGTCAAGGATTCCACTTTGTGGCCCCATTTCTTGAGGTTGGCTCTGCATCTTGTGGTGCCTTCCAAGTCACCCAGTCCTCTGTGTGCCCAGTCCTCTGTGTGCCCAGGAGGGAGTCTCTCATTTGGTATCAGCCATTGGTTGAGGTTCTGGGTTTGAGCCTGCCACTTTTGGACTCTCGCTTGCTGAGGTGTTCCAGCGAGTGTCTCTGTAGATCTTAGAAAACTATTTCTAGATTTAAGTCGTTGACGTGCTGGCTGATACCCAAACAAGGGATGAGCTGGAGATGTCACTGCTTTGGTCCTTTCACTATTGGCTGCTACTTCCTGGTGGTGCAATACCAGCTAAACAGTGTAATTTCTCCAGTGGTGTAGGGCGCAGACACCCCGTGATAATGCGACATGTCTCATTAAGAGCCACATCCACTGTTTTAGCGTGGTGAGATGTGTTCCACACTGGGCATGCATACTCAGCAGCAGAGTAGCAAAGCACAAGGGCAGATGTCTTCACTGTGTCTGGTTGTGATCCCCAGGTTGTGCCAGTCAGCTTTCGTATGATATTGTTTCTAGCGCCCACTTTTTGCTTGATGTTCAGGCAGTGCTTCTTGTAGGTCAGAGCATGGTCCAGAGGGACTCCCAGGTATTTGAGTGCGCTGCAGTGCTCCAGTGAGATTCCTTCCCAGGTGGTCCTCAGAGCTCGGGATGTTTCTCTGTTCTTGAGATGAAAAGCACATGTCTGTGTTTTAGATGGGTTAGGGATCAGCTGGTTTTCCCTGTAATAGGCAGTAAGAGCACCTAGAGCTTTGGAAAGCTAAGAAGGTTATTATTAACTAGAAATGGAAATCTGCTGAAATATTGCAGATCAATAATTGATCTGAAATAATCCAGATCAATAAAAATAAGACCACCATTTGAGTGTACTGTGGCCATTCACCCTTAACTCTGGAAAGGGGAGAGACATGGCTCACAACCCTGGTGTTGACACATCTTAAAATCAGTCTGTGTGTGTGTGTATGTGTGTGTGTGTGTTTTGATGAAGGACAGAATGGGGTGATTGCCAGAGATTGCCAGAATTCCAAAGTATCGACACTTTAAGAGGGAATAGCAATTGCTCAGTAGATAGTGCTGTGGACATTGATACTCATTCTGTTTAGATGTGTATTACAATTAGCCTCATTCTTTGAAATTTTTAACTACTTTAAAAATAGCATTCAGGCTTATAGCAAGTTGTGATAATGAAGTAAGTTGCCTTTTCCTTGAAACCTATTAATGACATAATATCTATCATTAGTGGGTCTGAATGTCAAACCAACTATTATTGTGTGAAATGTGGACCCAATCCTAACTATGGATACACAAGTTTTGATCACTTTGGATGGGCTTTCCTTTCTTTGTTTCGACTAATGACGCAGGACAGCTGGGAACTTCTCTATCAACAGGTAAGACATAACATAAGTAAATAGTGCATAGACTCTATGCACACACATTGCTTTTTAAAAGCTTGGAAAATGTAAATGTTCTATATGCAATGTTCTCTATGGCATATTTCCTGTCTACATGATTGTATTTTATTTATTTTGAACACTTTTACCCTGCCCTTCTCAACTTATCCATAATCAATTTCCAAGCCATTGTCAACATTGTCATTGTCATTTCCGCCTAATTAACCAAAGGCCTGGTCCCACATCCACGTTTTTACCTTCTTTCTAAAGGTGAGGAGGGATGACGATGATCTAATTTCCCCGGGGAGTGAATTCCACAGGCGAGGGGCCACCACCGAGAAGGCCCTGTCCCTTGTCCCCACCAAGCGTGTTTGAGACAGAGGCGGGGCTGAGAGCAGGGCCTCCCCAAGGTTGTGCATTTCGGGAGAATAGCTATCCTTTCTGCTTGCTTCATCTGGTGGTCAGGGGAGCTTTTGCACAATTAAAACTTGTGCGCCAGCTGCGCCCGTACCTTGGGAAGTCTGACTTAGCCATGGTGGTCCACGCTCGGTTACATCCCGTATAGACTACTCTATGTGCTCTCTATGTGGGGTTGCCTCTGAAGACTGCCCGGAAGCTGCAGCCAGATTACTAACAAGAGTGGGGAACAGGGAGCATACTACTCCTCTGTTGCCAGCTCCACTGGCTGCCAATTAGCTTCCGAGCACAATTCAAAGTGCTGGTGTTGACCTATAAATCCCTAAACGACTCCAGCCCAGTTTACCTGTCCGAACGGATTCTCCCCTATGAACCATCAAGGTTGTTAAGATCTTCTGGAGGGGCCCTGCTCTCTGTCCCACCACCCTCGCAATCGCGTCTGGTGGGGACGAGGACAGGGCCTTCTCGGTGGTGGCCCCTCGGCTCTGGAACTCTCTCCCATTGGAGATTAGAACTGCCCCTTCCCTCCTGACCTTTAGAAAGTTGGTGAAAACCTGGCTCTGGAATCTGGCATTTGATGAGCGAGTCAATAATTCTTGACCACACGGATGGATGGGGATGAATAGTGAAATTATTTTGACGACTTGGCCTTATGTAATTATATGATTGTATTTTAATGTGTTTTATATTAGTGTATTATTGGATGTGATGTTTTAAACTATTGTGTATGAATTCCTCTGTTGTAAGTCCCTCGTCGGAGGTGAGAAGACCGGTATATAAAAGTTCTAAATAAATAAATAAATAAGCCCCCCATATCCATTTTCTAGCATCTCTTGAAAATGGTAGCACTGTCAAATGGGCATTTTTGTTCAGCGGCTCTGTTCAGCCCATTGGCAGCAATGGGAAACTTTCCCCTGTAAGCCTTTCCTTTCTTCCCTTCAAGGGTGCCTGGGTGTCAGAAACAGGGTACAGAAAGCACCCTTCCTGAGAACCTTTCCTTTCCCCCCCTTCAAGGTAGCCTGAGGTCAGCAACGGGGTTAAGAAAGCACCCTCCTCTAGCCCATTATGGGGAGGGACTTCCCACAGGCTCCGTTTCCATATCCTTCATTAAGACCTGGATTTAAAAAAAGCATCAGAGTTCCCACCCTTAAGTTTCTGGATCCTTTCCCTTCTGTCTGTAAAGGAGGGTATCGAGTTTATTGCTTCTTAAAGCTGTTCTACTCTAGAGGAGAGGCAGGTGGACTCTTTCTTCTCTCCCAGCACCAACAGCTTTAAGGCATTTTAAGGAAGGAAGAGTGGTGACCTGGAGCTCAGTCAAGCTTTCATTCATGGTCAACTGCAACAAAGATGGGAGGATGGGGGGCTGAAATTTGCAACAGGCACCACCACACACAAGATGGAGGACAAAGGACAAACAACAAGGTCTGGCCCAAGGCAAGGTAGTGAGGGAATAATAATAATAATAATAATAACAACAACAACAACATTTTATTTGTACCTCGCTACCATCTCCCCAAGGGACTCGGTGCGGCTTGTATTAGGCCGAGCCCAAATACAACTATACAAGCAATAATAACAACAATACAAGCAATTAAATAAAAAACATAGACAATAAAATATGAAACAATTAACAATAAGACAACACACAATTAAAAACAGTAGGAAGGCCAAATGTAAAGTTAAAATGGGAAATGATGCCGGGACATGGGCGAAAAGGTGAAAGTGGCGTTTATGCAAAATGTACAAGCAGACCTAATATTTTAAGTGCTTTAGAGGACAAAGTGCTATGGGATCATTATTCTGGGAAGGCACACCTGAACAACCACGTCTTCAAACTCCTCCTAAAGACTGCCAGAGTTGGGGCATGCCTGATGTCCTTAGGGAGTGAGTTCCAGAGTCGAGGGGCCACCACGGAAAAGGCCCTCTCTCTTGTCCCCACCAATCGCGCCTGCGATGCAGGTGGGATCGAGAGCAGGGCCTCTCCAGATGATCAAAGAGATTGTGTGGGTTTGTATACAGAGAATCAGAGGGAATCAGAGCACACACACCCTCACGCATACAAGGCCAGACAGTGGGAAGCCTCCATTGTATATTATATTTTGCCTTTGCTGCCACCAATTCATTTTTTCATAGGCTCCCTCCTTCAATGGGAAGATTAAAAAGTCACACGAAGACTTCAGCTGAAATGAAACAGGAATATGTTGTTTATTTTGAACAGTCAAAAAGCGTAATGGTTTGAAATAACTTGAAACCATTACGGCTTTACTTCTTACAGAGGATGTTACAGAGGATATGTCCTCCATCTTGAGTTTCTTAAAACAAAGTTCCACACACAGAAAATCCAAACAGGATCTTTTAAACCTTTTGGAATCTCCCTTCCTTCTTACAGCACTCTAAACACTTTAGAGGCCTATTAACTATAAGTGGTTGAGGGGGGAAAGGAAGGGGCCTGAGACTGTTAGGAATTGTGGGAGTTGAAGTCCAAAAGACCTGGAGGGCCCAAGTTTGCCCATGCCTGCTTTGGGGTCACCATAATTCAGGAACGTATTGATGACATAGAACAACACTATCTTCCTCAATCTAAATTTGTTATATTTAACTGCAAATGCCTCCTGTGCCAAAATAATGTTTTGGCTGTAATACATTAAAGTGGCTATCCCTCTGAAACTGCCACCATATAAAAAGTAATTATGTTGAGATTAATTTCACAATTCAGCAGCAGATCAGTTGCACAACTTCAGCGCTTTCCAGTAGTTTCTTCCTGCACAGTATTTTCAGTCAACTGCTCCCACAAACTGCAGTCACTCTGGAACTCTTTTACAGACATTTGAGCACATGCCCGGCCATTGTCAGTTTTACTATTGTTTTCCCCTCCAATCTAGATGACACTACAAACTTACCACAGCACACGGTTATATCTTGTCTTAGCAGACAGGTTCTTTTAATCAGTTACATAGAGCTTTCGATGAACAGCATCACAGCACAAGGAGAGAGAATACACTCTATATGACTTCCTTATATACAATGCTATACAATTACACATAGCAATCTCTGATTGGTTCCCAACTCATTAACTTAACTCAGACCCAGGATTACATCATTCACAACCACCTGGACTAGGCCAGAACACATTCCCCAAATGATTCCCTATATACAGTTAATGCATGACTCAGCATTTCCAATAGAAGCCTATTAGCAGTGCATGACTCAGTATATTATATTACAATACATTGTAAAACCTGACAAATTAGCCAGTCTCATGTTAATATTGTCTGTTTTGCAACCTTTGAGAAGCTGTACAATTATATAATCTTTCCCACACAGGTTATCAGAACATCTGGGAAAACCTACTGCATCTTTTTTGTGATCATCATCTTTTTGTGTTCATTTTACCTTTTCAATTTAATCCTGGCTGTTGTAACAATGGCATACGATGAGCAACACAAAGCAACACTTGCACAAACAAAGGCAAGAGAGATGCTGCTCCAGAAAGCGAAAGATATATTAAAAAAGGAAAAGGTTTGTAAAAGCGCCGTTATTACAAATGCTAAGACAAACTTTCTGGTTTTTAGTTGTTCGCAATAAAGATGTGTTATATTGTTTAAAATACAATCAGAATAACGAATGAATACATTCCTGCAATAGAAAAAAAAAACATGGCAAACGTATCTAATTTCACAATTTTATCTCACCATTAAAGAGTTATAAGCTATGTAGTCCATACAACATGTTACATATTCATAGGATTTGGGTTTATATTAGCAAAATTAACGTATATACTCAGGATGGAGCAAGCTTATTTTCTGCTGCCCTGGAGACTAGGACATGTCTTGCAACTCAGGGTAGGCTTCACCTTGCTTCCAAATACCACCACACAAGAGCTGTAGTTTATAGTTTATTGGGGAAAAAGTCCAAGTCAAAATAAAGAGTAAGCATTGCAAAGTTCCAAAGATTAAGGTTAAAAGCAGGATACAGTTCCAAAGATCTTCAGGTAAAAGCAGGATGCATAATCCTATTGGCAAAGTTCAAACCAGAGTCCCAGGTATAAGCAAGGAAACATTTGCCCCAAGAATCCCAATGCAAGAAGTCCCAAGCATCCTGCTCCAGGCTAAGATTATTCCATGAAACTTTCAGGCTAATAAGCTACGTTGAACTGACAGTTTCTCTTCCTTTCTGAGAAGCCTAAATAGCGTTTTCTAATCATGAAAACATCCTGCTCTCACAGTGGTCCCATGACCTTTCCCCGACCTGGCCTCTCGTCTACAGATCAAGGCCTTCCCTATCAGTGTGGGAAGACACCTGGGTGCTAACTCCCTTATTGGCATTCTTTTCCTGTGAGAATCGCTTGCAGAAATCTCCCCTGTCTGTGAGAGCCTCAAGCTGAGGCTCAGAAAATCAGCCAGGAATCTGGATCCCATCACTCTCATCACACTGAGCCACAACAACGTGCAACAATGGCTTCAAACTACAGGAAAGGAGATTCCACCTGAACATGAGAAAAACTTCCTGACTTTCAAAGCAGAAAATCCCACAATAACTGCTTTGAACTGGGTTATCTGAGTCTGCACTCAAATAATGTGGGATTTTCTGCCTTGATATTCTAGGATAAAGGGCTATGTGGAAAGGCCCTGGGAGAGCTGTTCAACAGTGGAACTCTCTGCCCCAGAGTGTGGTGGAGGCTCCTTCTTTGGAAGCTTTTAAACAGGCTGGATGGCCAGTTGTCGGAGGTGCTTTGAATGAGATTTTTCTGCTTCTTAGCAGAATGGGGTTGGACTGCAAGGCCTACAAGAGACCTCTCTTCCAACTCTAGGATTTTATGATTCTATGATAAATCAAGAGCAGATTATGCATTTTGACCTGCACATAAATTGAGGATAATTCTGTAGATAGGGGAACCATCTCCAGGTCAGCACAACACCCCCAGTTTTGCCTTTGACCAGGGCCACAACTCCTCACTTTGCATCTCTTTTGCTCATTCATAGATTTCTTTAAACATATCAGCATATCTCAGAGTTATCCTGACTCTGCTGATTTACTTTGTTCTGTTCTTAAACGCCTTGAGTTTTCCAGAATAAAGGCAGGATAGAAATAAATAAAACTCAAATCAGATTTAGTATTTTTGTTGACATCAACCTGTCATCTAGATCTAATCTAAAGGGTAACCCTACTGAATGGAAACTTGGGCAACTTATCCAGAAAATAAGTGTGCCAAAACAGTTGTGGAAATGGTTAAAAAATACCTGGGTAAAATGTTCATGGCTGCAGTTGATATGCAGTTCATATCCCAATTTTAGTATCTGAGTGCTCACAGGAGGAATTGGGATAAACCCGTCACCCACCTTCAACGATAACTCTATTGGCTGTTTTAATCATACTAACACTTTATTTATATTCTGCTCAATCTCCCTGAGGGGACTCAGAGCAGATTACAACATACACAGATAGGCAAACATTCAATGCATTCAATATAGTGGAATAACAATGACATACAGATCCACAGAACAAAGGTAAATACTTCCCCTTTCATCTTTGGCTTTCTGGAGGTGGTGCTCAATTCTGGCCATGGGGAGGTGCTCTTTGGCTGCCTCTATTCTATCAAGTATGAAGAGTAAAGATTGTCCTCACATATCTAATTTCACAATCTTATCTCACCATTAAAGAGTTATAAGTCATGTAGTCCATACAACATGTTACATATTCATAGGATTTGGTCTATTCTCCCCAGTATACATAATAATAATAATAATAATAATAATAATAATAATAATAATAATAATTTATGTATATTCCTCCCTATCTCCCCAATGGGACTCAGGGAGGATCAAAGTACACATTCACAGCAAACATTCATTCCATTTTGGATTGACAGGATAGAGACAGACAAAACAGAAAGGAGGTATGTTTTGTCGACATCCAGCTTTTTGGCTCCTTGGAGGTTGAATCCAGCCACGGGGGGTGCTGTCGTGACATCCTCTATGACAGTGGTTCTCAACCTGGGGTCCCCAGATGTTTTTGGCTTACAACTCCCAGAAATCTCAGCCAGTTTATCAGCTGTTAGGATTTCTGGGAGTTGTAGGCCAAAAACATCTGGGGACCCCAGGTTGAGAACCACTGCTCTATGACAAAGAGCCATCAGGACTTCCTCCTTCCTTTTAGTTGCCTGATCTTTTTCCTTTATGGTGTCATAAAATACCTACCCCACTTTTTTAGTGGTACCTAATTTCTCTATTTACTGCTCTAAGCTGTTTTTGAACTGGTTAGGTAAACAGTGAGCTGGGCTGACAGTCAGGAGCTCACGCCGACCCGGGGCTTCAAACTGGCAAACTTTTGGTTGGTACATCTTATCATTGCTAGTGATTTACCCAGCTGTGTTAAAGCCCGGTGCACACAAAATGGATACTGCCTTGAATTCCATTTATGGAAGGATGGTGGAATACAAATTAAATAACTCAAATGGTCAGATTTTCAAAAAAACTACACATTGAAACTGACAGTACTGCTTAGAGAAACATGGGTTCTGAAGTTTTTGGAAAATAGATGCCATATCTCATTGACTAGGTTATTTATTATTGGATTTTGGTCCAGGTAGTCCTATCAACTTAGGCATAGACATGGCCTCTCTCATGGTAGCTAGGAAGTTTAATGATTTGTGGTGCTATTGCTTTTAAATGCTTAATGATTTTGTATTGTGTATACCTAAATTGTTGTAAACCGCTCTGAGTCGCCTAAGGGCTGAGAAGAGCGGTATACAAATAAAGTAAATAAATAAATAATAAATAAATAAATTTCTCCTCCCGAAGTGGCAAGTTTTACCTTTATCTCATATTCACGAAGTGTTCTTATTTGAACATTGTCCATTTCAGGAAGCGATTGACCAACAACACATGGATGAAGAAGATGAAGAAATGCCAGGCAAAGAGTCAAAAAATAAAAAAGGGAGAAAAGGCAAGAGGAAGAAGAAAGCCAAAGGCAAAAAACCCAAAACCTATGGAGAAGATGAAACTATGTTTTATTCTACACCTGATAAAATTCAAACAGATCTGGTAAGTTTTAGTAGCATAAAGCTTATATGCTGGGTTTGTAGAAATACACAAATATTCAGTGCCGTTGGCTAATCAACATTACGTAAGGATGCAGCTGAATGTTTAAAGCAGCTGTGGGCAACCTTTGGCACTCCAGGTGTTTTGGACTTCAACTCCCATAATTCTTAACAGCTGAGCAGGCAAACACAGCAGTTGAGAAAGAGAAGACCAGAGCTGATGTTCTTATTAATTTTGGGTCTGTGCTCCATGCACTAAGTTTCCGCAGGATGCTATTGCATGCAGCTACTCTGTGCATGGTGTTTGCACAGTGTTTGCTAAGTTGACACCGAGATCTTGAGGGTGGGAAGAGTGTTCAAGCTCTTGGCCTTCCCAGGTAATGTATTGTTGAAGGCTTTCATGGCCGGAATCACTGGGTTGTTGTAGGTTTTTTGGGCTATATAGCCATGTTCTAGAAGCATTCTCTCCTGACATTTCTCCTGCATCTATGGCAGGCATCCTCAGAGGTTGTGAAGTGACTTCACAACCTCTGAGGATACCTGCCATAGATGCAGGTGAAACGACAGGAGAGAATGCTTCTAGAACATGGTCATATAGCCCAAAAACCTACAACCCCTTTTCAGGTTGTTGGCTTCATGATTACGTAGATGGAAAGTAGTCCCTTTAGTCACTAGGAATCCAGACCACCAACAAATGGGCTGCCACCTATTTCAAGAGTTTTCTTGTGGAGGATTCCTCATTTAGTCCCCTGATAGTACTTTGTTCTTTTCAGGGGTTCTGCACATCATGCCAAACCATATCAGCCAACTTTTTTTTCGGCGGGCCCCCTTGCAGTCCCTGCCCTCTAAATTGGCTCTAATAATTGTCATCATGTTGGCAAGGAAAATGGGAAGAGGAAAACTTTGCTTCTCAGTTCGATCTGTCTCAATACTCCAGAAGACAGGAGCAGAATTCAAAACGATCTTGACAGACTAGAGAGATGGCCCAAAACTAACAAAATGAAGTTCAACAGGGACAAATGCAAGATACTCCACTTAGGCAGAAAAATGAAATGCAAAGATACAGAATGGGGGACGATGCTTGGCTGAAGAGCAGGATGTGTGAAAAAGATCTTGGAATCCTTGTGGACAACAAGTTAAACATGAGCCAACAATGTGATGCTGTAGCTAAAAAGGTCAATGGGATTTTGGCCGGCATCAATAGGAGTCTAGTGTCTAGATCCAAGGAAGTCATGCTACCCCTCTGTTCTGCCTTAGTTAGACCACATCTGGAATACTGTGTCCAATTCTGAGCACCACAATTGAAGAGAGAAATTGACAAGATGGAATGTGTCCAGAGGAGGGAGATTAAAATGATCAAGGGTCTGGAGAACAAGCCCTATGAGGAGCGGCTTAAAGAGCTGGGCATGTTTAGCCTGCAGAAGAGAAGACTGAGAGGAGACATGATAGTCGTGTATAAATATGTGTGGGGAAGTCATAGGGATGAGGGAGCAAGCTTGTTTTCTACTGCCCTGGAGATTAGGACACGGAGCAATGGCTTCAAACCACAGGAAAGAAGATTCCACCTGAACATGAGGAAGAACTTCCTAACTGCCATACCTGTTCAGCAATGGAACTCTCTACCTCAAAGTCTGGTGGAGGCTCCTTCTATGGAGGCTTTTAAAAAGAGGCTGGATGGCCATTTGTCATGGGTGATTTGAACACAATTGTCCTGCTTCTTGGCAGGGAGTCGGACTGGATGGCCCATGAGGTCTCTTCTAACTCTATAATTCTATGATGCTGCTTGGGGAACAGGGACTGTTCTGTCACGCGCTGGGCCTGTAACAGCTGTACTTTTCTATAGGACATATACTTTAAGCCCAACGGGAAGCCAGGGGCGCCTCAGAAGAGAAGTTCTTGGGGATTTTTCTGAAGTGATGGCCTTTAGAGCCTTTAACGATACAACAAAGTCTTTATTATGGAACAAACAACAAATCTTCAATGGTTTAAACAACACTTCAAGGCATTCTTAGTCTAGTCCTCAATGGACTGGTACCTGACTTTGATTAACTGTACTTTCTCTGTAGGAGAATCCCTTTTAGCCTCTCCCAGGCTGTTTACTATCTATGCCTCATCGGTGTGGGTCCTACTACCGATTCCAAATGTGTCTGGGTATCGAGTAGACCTACCAGCCGAGGCTTGTAGATATTTCAGATGGAGTTCTTTGGATCTGTAGTGCTGTCCTCCCTCAGAGAATTCTTTGAGAACTTCAGGGCTGTTTTCCCTCTGATTGCTGTGAGGCTGAGAGGCTGTGAGCTCTCAGCCAGAGCCTTGGGACCTTTTCCCTGGAATTTCTGTTTCTATTTCCACAGATGTTCTGTTCCCCTGGATGCTTTTGGGGAAAGAAGCTTTTCTATGGGACGAGCTGGTCTATGTCCTATAGTTTAGCTTCCCTATGAGAGACTGCCCAAAAAAATGGCTCCTTTCCCTCCCAGAGCCCTGAACAAGGGGCGGAACCAAAGCTTAATTATGATGGACAGGAGGCCTGCCCTATGACTGCAAACAGATAACAGAAAGAATATAAAGTCGGAGCTCCTGGTACAGCTGTACCAGCACAGGGACAAAGTTACAGAGTAACATTACCAGGCAAAGTTTATGTAATCCCTGCCTTACTGGTTATGAAGGAGGCTTATCTTGTTTGTGGATGAGTCTTTTGAATTAAGTCAAATGCCTTTGGGGGAAATCATCAAATCTTCCATTTACTAATTAATATACTCTAAATGTTACACTTTTAATTAACTTTCTTTTTAGACCCGTTTGCATACATTACCCTCTCCTGTATTGAGGATTGTGTGTAATTGATTGGGGAGATGGTAGTGTCTTTTAAAATATTAAACAGTCTTTTATTTTCTGCTCCCCAAGAAAGAGCTGTTAATGTCCTATCGCCTACCAACGGACACTCTTCAGGACCCATTTCAACGACAAAAATTAACCAGTGCTGCCAATGTCATCAGCAAAACTTTGGGTAAGTTAAAATTAATCATAGTTTGCAAAGCACTATAGATACATTCTTTAAAGTGTTAGATATAACATTTATTTATTTATTTATTTACAGCTTTTATATTCCGCCCTTCTCACCCCGCAGGGGACTCAGGGCGGATTACAGTGTACACATATATGGCAAACATTCAATGCCAATTTTTGACATACAAACATATACAGACATACACAGAGGCTATTTAACTTTTTCTGGCCGCCAGGGGAGCTGTCGCTTTCATCGTCCATCTGCGACGCTGATGAAGCACTTCCGCATTCCCCGCATGCTTCCCCGCTGGAATGCTTTGCTGGAGTCTTCTTTATGGCCTCATAAATCAGTTAATTTAGCCTCCCCACACTTTTAAGGTGGTACCTAATTTTCCTACTTGACAGATGCAACTGTCTTTTGGGTTGCAAAGGGCAGTGTTTCTCAACCTGAGGGGTCGCCAAAGACCACCAGAAAACATATACTTCTAATGGTCTTAGGAAACCTTTTGGCAGAGAAGGCTGAAGCTCTCTCTGTCTGCCCTTCTCTTCCTTTTTGGAAACAGACAGCAGATTCTCCCACGAAAAGCCCTCCTCCGCTGTGATTTGTCCAGCCTCTCTGCCAAGAGGAGGACTGTTTCTGAGACTTAGAAGTGGGGAGGGGAGAGCAGGCATGCTCGGCGCATGGCAGCGTGGTGAGCATGAGCAGGCGAGGGAGAGCGTGCAAGGCTGGAGAGAGGCTCATGCCAGTGAGTCCCTTCAATGCATAGGGGTTCTGGATGGAAATTTGGCCCAATTCTATCATTGGCAGAGTTCAGAATACTCTTTGATTGTAGGTGAACTATAAATCCCAGCAACTACATCTCCCAAATGTCAAGATCTATTTTCCACAAACTCCACCAGTGTTCACATTAGGGCATATTGAGTATTCGTGACAAGTTTGGTCCAGATCCCTCATTGTTTGAGTTGACATTGCTGTCTGGATGTAGGTGAACTACAACTCCAAATCCCAAGGTCAATGCCCACCAAACACTTCCAGTATTTTCTGTTGTTCGTGGGAGTTCTCTGTGCCAAGTCTGGGTCAATTCCATCATTGGTGGAGTTCAGAATGCTCTTTGATTGTAGGTGAACTATAAATCCCAGCAACTACAACTCCCAAATGACAAAATCAATCCCCCCACAACCCCACCAGTATTCAAATTTGGGCGTATCGGGTATTTGTGCCAAATTTAGTCCAGTGAATGAAAATACATCCTGCATATCAGGATTCATAACAGTTATGTTATTCATAACAGTTATGTTATGATTCATAACAGTAGCAAAAATAACAGTTATGAAGTAGCAACGAAAATAATGTTATGGTTGGGGGTCACCACAACATGAGGAACTGTATTAAGGGATCACGGCATTAGGAAGGTTGAGAAACACTGTTTTAGGGCATTACGGTATTCAGGTATAGGTAGATACGAAAGAAGGCATGCAAAATATTTACGATCATCCTGTATATTGACTTTGATTTAGATGGATGTGTTTGCCCTGCTCAAATTAGTCCATTATTACTGTGCTGACTTGGTTTGATGATAGCCATAGGATGCATCAAGCTTAGAATGGAAACCACATTCCCATGTCTCTTTAAAATAAGCACCTTTTGCCATTTTTCTTATCCTAGCTAATGCAAATTATGACTCAATGTACTTGAAAGGGCTATGTATTATTTATTTATTTACACCATTTCTACCCCGCCCTTCTCACCCTCGAGGGGGGACTCAGGATGGCTAACACAGGCAGCAAATCGATGCCACAATATCAATAATAACTGCAGGATTATTTGGTTATGCATGTGTGTTTTTCAATGTGTTTCTATGTAATTTAAGATGGATTACCATGTATTTCAAGATGGATTCTATTCTGTTCAATTGTGTATTAGAAATACTGTGCTGAGGCATAGAAAATGTAACCTTGACAGAAATGAGATAATGTGTTCTCTGGCTGGGAAGAAGAGGGAGGATCTGATCTCAGCCAGAAGTCAGATAAGCAGATGTTCAGAGACTGTTGTTTGTGCCTTGTAATTCCTGTCTGTTGCTTGCTGTGAATAGACGTGTATAGATGTACTTAGTAAACTTAGTTTTTCTGTTGTAACTAAAAGCTTGCAGAGTCCTGATTTCTGAATGCAGTGTCTGTTGATCTAGCAATCCTTCCGCCGGCAAAGCTTCAATACTCTGACAATAACAATGTAAATGTAAAATCATAATACATAGCAGATTAAAAACAGTAACATTAATTATAATTATATAATCACATAGTCACATAGCCGCTTCCAATTGTCGTAACAGTCCTGTGGTTCAGTGTCTAAAGTGCTGCTGTACCCACTAGCCAAAGGCCTGGCTCCAAAACCATGATTTTAGGTTCTTCCTAAAAGAACGGAGGGTGGACACCGATCTGATCTCACTGGGGAGTGAATTCCACAAGCGGGGGGCCACCACTGAGAAGGCCCTGACCCTCGTCCCCACTAGATGCGTTTGCGAAGCCGGTGGGACAGAGAGCAGGGCCTTCCCAGTAGATCTTAAATTACGAGGTGCAACGTAGAGGGAGATACGTTCAGACAAGTAAGCTGGGCCAGAGCCGTATAGGATTTTATAGGCCAAGACCAGCACTTATTAACAGTTATCCAGTAACGTTTCCTCGATATATTGTCGAAGGCTTTCATGGCCAGAATCACTGGGTTGTTGTAGGTTTTTCCGGGCTATATGGCCATGTTCTAGAGGCATTTTCTCCTGACGTTTCGCCTGCATCTATGGCAAGCATCCTCAGAGGTAGCATCCTCCAACCACACTACCTCTGAGGATGCTTGCCATAGATGCAGGCGAAACATCAGGAGAAAATGCCTCTAGAACATGGCCATATTTTCCTCGATAATTAAACAAAAATGATGAATATGATGAAAATATTGCTTGTGTAGGAATTATTTGTTATTTTTGTCAGTGTTTCTTGAATCAGATGTATGTGGATGTGGAAATATTTATCTGCAAACTTTCAGTGAAATTTTTTCTATCGCTTCGTAATTTGCTTTTTAGAATGGGAAGAACCAAAATTGAAATTCCCTCCCGGCATAAAAAAGGCTGTCCGGAAGTATCTCATTTGGCAATGCTGCCCTCTCTGGTTGCAGATAAAGAAAACAATGAAGAAGTTAATGATCAATCCTTTTATGGAACTATTTATTACACTGTGCATTATAGTGAACACTCTACTGATGGCATTAGAAAGCATGTCTATTCCAACAAAGGTGGTTGTGATAGGAAACAGGGTAAGTTTTTAGATCTTTATTAAGCATCACGTCAGGAATCTCTGTATTGTTTATTCTCGAAGACTTTTGGCGCTGTATATTGTCGAAGGCTTTCATGGCTGGAATCACTGGGTTGTTGTAGGTTTTTTCGGGCTGTATGGCCATGTTCTAGAAGCATTCTCTCCTGACATTTTTTTACATTGTTTCAAGAGGTCTGAATCCACTGTTATGACTCCATATTTTGTTCCCCTTTTTGCAGGTTTTCACTGGTATTTTTACAGCTGAAATGGTGCTCAAAATTATTGCACTTGATCCATTTTACTATTTTCAAGACCCTTGGAATATTTTTGACTCGGTACTGGTTGTTCTAGGCATAATAAATTTGATGCTTGAAAAACACCTATCAATTTTCAGAATGGTAATGATGTGTCTTTTTCTATTATAAGACAACTTTAAATCTTTCATGTAGGTCTATGAAATGTTGAAATAATATTTAAAATAAATATAAGGACCTGGCAAATGTAATAGATTATTCAATGTGTTGTCGAAGGCTTTCACGGCTGGAATCACTGGGTCGCTGTGAGCTTTTTGGGTTGCATGGCAATGTTCCAGTAGCATTCTCTCCTGATGTTTCAAGCTAAACATCAGGAGAGAATGCTACTGGAATATGACCATACCACATGAAAACTCACAGCAATCTAGCAGATTATTGTCCAGAAAGTGGAAGAGGCAACAAGGGGATTAGCTATTCTGGATTGGATCCTAGTCAACACTAATGACCTGTTAAATGGAGTGGAAGTGATCAGTATTGGAATTCACTGTCTTGGAGTGTGGTGGAAGCTCTCCTTTGAGGGTTTTAAACAATCTGGATGACTATCTGTTGGTGGTATTTTGATTGTTCTTTTCCTGCATGATGGGGTTGGACTGGATGGCCCATGTGGTCTCTTCCAACTCTATGATTCTATGATTTTATGATTCTACTAGCCATCCCCTGCCACGCATTGCTGTGGCCCACATGAGGGTTCTGTGTGGGAGGTTTGGCCCAAGTTTGGTCCAGATCTATCATTGTTTGAGTTCACAGTGCTCTCTGGATATAGGTGAACTACAAGTCCAAAACTCAAGGTCAATGCCCACCAAACACTTCCAGTATTTTCTATTGGTCGTGGGAGTTCTGTGTGCCAAGATTGGTTCAATTCCATCATTGGTGGAGTTCAGAATGCTCTGTGATTGTAGGTGAACTATAAATCACAGCAACTACAACTCCCAAATGTCAAGATTCTATTTTCCCCAAACTCCACCAGTGTTCACATTTGGGCATATTGAGTATTCGTGTAGAGTTTGGTCCCAATCCATCATTGTTTGAGTCCACAGTGCTCTCTGGATGTAGGTGAACCAAAACCAAAGGACACTGCCCACCAAACCCTTCCAGTCTTTTCTGTTGGTCATGGGAGAACTGTGGGCCATGTTTGCTTCAATTCCATCGTTGGAACTCCCAAATGACAAAATCAATTTTTTTGAGTGAAGGACATGCATTGGGTTGTTAGGTGTCTTGTGTCCAAATTTGGTGTCAATTCCCCCAGTGGTTTTTGAGTTCTGTTAATCCCACAAACGAACATTGCATTTTTATTTATATAGATGAAAGCAACTTGTTGTCATTTGTTGAGGTTGCGATAGCTGTGCCATGTCACCCGTTGTAAGATCTTATGTGAGATGCATCAAATGTCAATAGGAGTCACCATGTAATTGTTACTCACTCCTGGGAGAGAGGTGGGAATGGAGGCATAAGATCAGCATGCCATTGTAAAGGTTAGCCACAGGCATAATAAGTTTGAGAACCACCACCATAGACCTGTGTGTTTGTTTCTCTTTCTTCCCCTCCCTCCCTCCCTCCCTTTCTTTATTCCACACAACCTTTTATAACCAAATACTGAGAAACCAGCATCTAACCAATTTTATTTGATACTACACTCTTTCTCTATTCCCACCCTTGCAGCTGAGAATCTTCAAGTTGTCAAAGTTTTGGCCAGCTTTAAATAAGCTGATGAAAATAATCTTCAAATCGGTCGGCCCACTGGGTAACCTCACACTTGTTCTAGCTTTCACCATATTCATTTTTGCCGTGGTTGGCAAACAGGCCTTTGGGAACTTTTACAAAGCCATGTTAAACTCATCCAACTGCTCTATCTGTACCGATTCCGAAGTACCATATTGTCACCCTACTAACCAAACCGGTAGATTACGATGGCATATGGAAGACTTTTTCCACTCGTTCCTTATTATATTCCGAATTCTGTGTGGAGAATGGATCGAAACCATGTGGGGCTGCATGGAAGTTGCTCAGGATGGATGGTGCATTATTCTGTTCATGACAGTGCTTGTTTTTGGAAATCTAGTGGTAAGTATTCAAATATTCTATGGGACATTTTTGTTACCATTTGTTGTTGGAAATAGCGACCTTCTACATTCCTCCTATACTAGTCATTTGTTATGTATATTATTATGATTGTTTACTATATTGTACATATTTATTGATATGCAGTTTTCCCATAAATCTATGTTGTTTGCGGAGGGATTGCAGACCATGTGACCAGATCTGGGCCTGTTCAGGCTGAGACTCCATTTTAGAAGTCAGTACATTTTAGAAGCAGTACAGTTTAGAAGTCAGTTGATACAGTATGAAATTATCAGTATTAGTGTAAAGTTAGTGTCAGTATGCTGCAGTGAGTAGTCAGTCTGTATTAAGTCAGTGTTTATTTATTTATTTATTTATTTATTTATTTATTTATTTACAGCTTTTATATTCCGCCCTTCTCACCCCGCAGGGGACTTAGAGCGGATTACAGTGTAAACATATATGGCAAACATTCAATGGCAGTTTTTGACATACAAACATATACAGATATACACAGAGGATATTTAACTTTTTCTGGCCGCCAGGGGAGCTGTCGCTTTCATCGTTCATCTGCGATGTTGATGAAGTACTTCCGCATTCTTCGCATGCTTCCCCGCTGGAATGCTTTACTGGAGTCTTCTTTATGGCCTCATAAATTAGTTAATTTAGCCTCCCCACACTTTAAGGTGGTACCTAATTTTCCTACTTGACAGATGCAACTGTCTTTTGGGTTGCAAAGGTCGACAACAGGCTACACACAATTGGTTGGAAACCCACTCCAACCCTGGCTGGCTTCGAACTCATGACCTTTTGGTCAGAGTGATCTTTAATGCAGCTGACACTCAGCCAGCTGTGCCACAATCCCAATGTTCAGTAATGTATTAGTCTGTACGCAACAGAGAAGAGACTAAAACAGAATGCTTTAGAGAACTTAGGGTTTAAACTATCAACGAACAAGAAATATACCTATATACTGAATACATGATGTTTGTAAGTAAATCAGCTATGTTACTTTTAACTAAGACTACTTATTTTTGGTCTCTTGAGAGCATGATTTAAAAGCAATATATTTTATGACAGAGTTCTGTGTGCCAAGTTTTGTTCAATTCCATCATTGGGGGAGTTCAGAATGCTCTTTGATTGTAGGTTAACTATAAATCCCAGCAACTCCCAAATAACAAAATCAATCATCCCCCCCACCCAACCCCACCAGTATTCAAATTTGGGTGTATTGGGTATTTGTGCCAAATTTGGTCCAGTGAATGAAAATACATCCTGCACATAAGATATTTACATTAAAATTCATAACAGTAGCAAAATTGCAGTTATGAAGTAGCAACGGAAATAATTTTATGGTTGGGGGTCACCAGAACATGAGGAACTGTATTAGGGGTTGTGGCATTAGGAAGGTTGAGAAACACTCCATTAAATAAGCAGCTGCTCTCAATCTTCCAGCACCTCCATTCCTGAACTCAAAGATGAGGGGACAATGTGCTATTTTTGAATACAATGATTATTTCAACTGATTATTTTTTCACAGGTCCTCAATCTTTTCATTGCTTTATTGCTGAGTTCCTTCAATAGTACTGATTCAGAAACTGAGACCAATGAAAAGGAGGCTGGACCTCAGGAGGCCTTGGCTCATATTCGCAGAGGGTTGCAATCCGTCAGAGATTTCTTGTGGAGTTCATGTTGCAATGCACTCATGGAGAAACTGAGGAAAACAAGCACGAAAAACAAGAACCTGACTATTGTTATGCAAAAGTCCATTGGTGCTGAGGCAGAAGAAGGGATCCAACAGAATTATGTCAGGAGTGAAACTTTCAAAAACTGCCAGAAACCACCACTGAATGGAAAGCAGGAAGATGTTCTCTTAAATGCAAATACATTTGTTTGTGTTCCCCTCGCGGAGCTGGACACTTTAAGTGACGATGAAGAGTCTGTAATCGTGGAAACTGAATGGAGTAAGCAGGTACGAGGCTGACTGAAACTGTTACATCTGGTACATTGCTGCTAAGGAGTGCTTACAGAGAGGGGAACTGGAAACACCTATGACCACTACACCATACAAGAGTCCAGGAATATAAGCAAACAATTTGTGGTAAAAACATATAAAAAGCATATAAAATCATGAATAAGAAAGGAAGATAGATAATCCAAAAAGATTTAGCAACAGGTAATAACCAGACAATAATCCAAATGTCTCATAAAGTTCCAGAGGTGATAAAGTCCAGGAACAGCCAGATACAGCATACGTTCACAATCAAGAAGGCATAACTATGTAGTAAAACTTGAACAGGAGTACATGAACAGGAACATAGAAAACTTCTGGGATATATATATATATATATACATACATATACATATACAATCCAAGATCAAAGCTTGACTTGAACCAGGAACAAGAGAACTCAGGCTTAGCTTCTCACTCTAATGCAGTGTTGCCTGAACTGACCTTAAGGTAAACAACTTATTGTTTAATAGACACCCATGAAATCATTCCATTTTTCATTAATTTCCTTCACTGCTTTCCCATGTAATCTCTCTGAATGACACAATCTATTTTCGGCTCTGATTTGTAAACAAAGACCTTTGTTGATCTCCATAGCTACAGGTTGGTTTTCTCCCGATCAGCTCTTCACTCGATTCCTTATCTCCTGTTGCTACTCCTGACTCCTCTGAATGCCCTTGAGACTCTGCATTTTCCAAGCTGGTTTTCTCACAGAGAGAACCATCATTTCCCAGACTTGAATTTCCTAGATTTGAGAGCCCATCACTTTGTATTTGCTGAAATATATTAAGTTTCTAAATCTTGCCTTTGTTGTCTCCAGAGCTGATTTATATTTCTATTTTTTCAAACAAATGATTTTTTAATGTGATCTTGGTAGAAAATTGAAGATTAAAACGTTTACTGCTGAAGTTTATTGTTGCATACCTTTCTATAGGAGAACCAGCTGCGAAATAGGAGAGAGATATACAACAAGTCAAGGCAAAGCTTTTCTTCTCAGATTTCTGAATCTACAAGTATTTGGTCCTTAGATACTTCCAAGGTAAAGCAAATAGAATGGCCATCACAGAGGAAATAACCCTGAATCATTTGTGTTCACAATACACTGATTTCTTTTGTTCTGTTTTAATGTCTAGAGAGTTGATACCAGCTGTTCGGAAGCTAGCACAGTAGATCAGAGATCTCCTGTTTTCCTTTTGCCTGTGCTAAAGAAGGAGCCCAAGAGCTGTTTCCCACAAGGTGAGCATAGATGTGATCCTTTAAAAATTAATTAATTTCAGAGTATAACTCTCCAAGCAGAAGACATTTGTGGTAAATGTGTGTGTGTGATTACCCAAGTTCAATTTCCTTTGGGTCAAATTTGCGGAAATGTATAATATTTTATAATATTTGCATTGATTTATGAATATACAGATGAGCAGAGGCAGGGGCACATATTTTAAATATTCCAATATTCTGTATACCCAAAGTCCACTGCTCTTACATGCATTATTGTGTAATGTGCACCTATGTGTCTGGACTGAAACAGAAACTGACCAATCAAAGCCAGGTTCCTAAACTATTTTTATTTATCGTGTCAGTGCAACCAGTCGATTATATTACATTTCTAACAGAACCAACATTTTAATGCTGTTTCCAATCACAAAATATGGCTCCTAAACTGAAGAAGGTCCTTAGGCCCTTCTTGACAGCCATATTTTGTGATTGGAAACAGCATTAAAATGTTGGTTTTGAAACACTTAGAGATTTATTTGTTGTGTCAGGGCAACCAGTCAATTGTATTACATTTCTAACAGAACAAAACAAAGAAACAGACAAAATACAAGATTTGCGGGTTTGGTAGTTGATTAAATGTCCTTTGACCAGCATCTGGCCACTTGGAGTGCCTCTGATGTTGCCCAAGGAGGTCCTCCATTGTGCATGTGGCTGGGCTCAGGGTGCATTGCAGCAGGTGGTCAGTGGTTTGCTCTTCACACTCGTATGTTGTGGATTCCACTTTGTGGCCCCATTTCTTGAGGTTGGCTCATTTGGTATCAGCCATTGGTTGAGGTTCTGGGTTTGAGCCTGCCACTTTTGGACTCTCGCCTGCTGAGGTGTTCCAGTGAGTATCTCTGTAGATCTTAGAAAACTATTTCTAGATTTAAGTCGTTGACGTGCTGGCTGATACCCAAACAGGGGTTGAGCTGGAGATGTCTCTGCCTTGATTAAACCAGACATCCCTAAGTCACCGCTGTGGCAAAAGACTACCCACATGGCACAGCCATGCTGAAATCAGTTCTATCCCACTATCCTGGGCTGCCTGAGTCCATGGAGCATGGAATGCCAGAGGAGACATGATCCTGGACCTTAGGATCCAAGATGGCAGTCCCCACTGCCCCAACACCTGAAAAGGCCTGAATCTTGCTGCAGAATTTAGACCTTTCCTGGTGTTTTTTCAAACCTGAGATCAAACCACAGGCTTACCTTGCATTCAGTTGGAGGGAGATGTTTTGGAATCTCCAGGCCATTCCCAGGCAATGGGAGAAAGTGAGATTAACCTAATCTCAGTTCCCATGAGATTAGGCCAGAGTGGCCTGTGGAGGAGAATGTGGGAGACGAAGGTTTTTCCAGATTGAGCTACCTTGAAATTAGGAGGCAGAACGTAAAACAAAGACAAACTCTTTTTTCTCAGAGGCGTAGAGATAAGGAGAGAAAAACCAGGTGTGTGTGAAGTGATGTTATGGGAGGGACTGAGGCCTTTAAAGTGATTTCTGGTGGGAACAACATTGTAAAAAGGGGAAACGGCTCCCGGTTTCTAATCCTAAATCCTTGGTTCCTGTATTTCAAAATTCTTGGTTTGATTCCTGTTTATGACTTCATGTTTTTGGAGGTTTTGCCTTTCTTGTGTTCCTGTTTTTATGTTTGTGGATATAACCTTTGAACAATATCCTGCCTAAGTATTCTTTTGCTTTGTGTTAACTCAGGTCTCTGTGGATTACTTTTTGATGATAAGCTCTTGATCTTGTTGTACTGAATTACTTTTTGTCCTTCTGCTGTTTCTTTTTTTTATTTGCTTTCTTCTTTTTATACTTATTCATGAAGAAACTTCTACTTACTGGATTATCTGAACATTGTGTGGTGTTGAGTGAAAAGGTGTTCCAGAACTACAATGCAACAATGATGATAATATTTATTATCCACCCAGGGCTGTAGCCAGAAAAAGATTTCAGGAGGGGTTGACATTTTGGGGGGGGGGGGGGGAAATTTTTGGGGAGGGTTGAAAATTTGGGGGGAGGGTTGAAACCTGCCTCCTAGCTCATGCTGAAGCAAAGAGCACAGCAGGGGGCAGAGCAGCCTTCAATAGCCTGCAGCTCCGCCCCTGTCAACCACCTCCACCAAGTCTGGCCTCCTTAATGAGAGCATTCAACACCCCCCCCCAACTTGGTTGCTTCGCTACATCGGCTATTGCTGCAAGTAATGACAGTGTGAATAAATTGTCAATATTTGCGAGAGATAGTGCTTGCAGTTCTGGAGGGACTCTTACGTTTTTGCATATCATAGACTTAGCATGGGGATTTGGTTAACCAGTTAAAATTCATGAGTAAACCAGTTTTTTTAAAAAAATCTGAAACATTTCAGGGGGGGGGTTGAACCCCTAAACCCACCCACCCCTTGCTACAGGCCTGTATCCACCTCTCCTTTCGGGTTGAGGATACAACATGTTAAAACAAATGCAACCATAAGAGCATATATTAAACCATACAGATATTAAAATGCAAGAGTCCAAAGTTAATGTGATTTAGAAGTCATCGTTAAAACTGTCTGGATAGGCCTGCTGGAAGTGACAGGTTTTCAGTTATCTTTTACATCCCAACAACAATTAGCTGTCAAATCTCTTCAGGGAGGTCATTCTCCAGTCTTCTTGGGGAGACCAACGAAAAGGTCTTCCGGGTGATGGTTGCCAGTTAGGTTCTGACTGCTTGGAGTAGATAGCCCTTGTAGGACCTCAGTGTCCTCAGGGGTAATTGTATGGGAGAAGGCAATCCTGTAGGTAACCTAGACCCAAACCACACAGGACTTTAAATATCAAAGCCAACACTTTGTACTTTGACCATAAATGAATTGGCAACTAGTTGAATGACTTCTGTATAGGGGTAATATACTCACTCCTAGATGTTCCTGTAACCAGTCTGGTTGCCATGTTTTGAACTAATTGGAGTTTCCGAATTTGGTACATAGGTAGCCCAGTGTAAATCATATTGCAGAAGTCCAACCTTGAGGATTCTAGGAAGGGATGCAGCTAGAAATCAAAGCTGATAGTAAGCAAGATGTGGCTATTGAACTGGACCATTTTGAGGCTACAGATCATTTTCCCCATTAAATTTCTGTTTTTCAGCTTTCTTTCCATGTTGCAGAATGAACACCAATAAATTTCCAGGCAAAACTTGGTGGAATTTTAGAAAAACCTGCTACAAAATTGTAAGGCACAATTGGTTTGAATCTTTTAGCATATTCATGATATTACTGAGCAGTGGTGCTCTGGTAAGTTTATTCCTATGTGCCTCACATAACTGTATTTTCTGTTTTGATTTAATCTGCTTTTCTTTTGCAACTGTTTTTGCTGAGATTCCTGTGATAAAGTGATATTTGCCTTTTTTATTTTGTGATATTTAGTTTTCAAAGAGATGGGAATATTAGTATGTTTCAACCTAAACATTAGGAAAACTTTCCTCATGGTAAGTGCTGGAGTGGAGTCTTCTCCTTTGGAGGTTTTTAAGCAGAGGCTGGATGGATCTATCGGTCAGGAATGTCTGAATTATGTATTCCTGCACGGCAGTGGGTTTGGACGGCATGGTTCTTGGAGTCTCTTCCAACTCTATATTTCTATGATTCTATGAACTTAAAATGGAAAGACAGAGAAACGAAGAGATCATATAGAAACTTTGAGGCTAATAGATTTATTTTCGTATACATTATTGAGAAATAAGCTCAAATGTTGCCAAGCTCCCATTAGAAACTTTTAATCACCCTGTAAATGCCAAGTGCACAATTATATGGTGTAAAGTATAGGGTTGTTCATTCGGGCTAAGCCCTGATCTGTTTTGTGTACTGGCTTTCGGTGGGGGTCCCAATCCATTTTTGGGAGCCTCCTGAAGTTTTGCTCTCCGGTACCGAAATATCAGTTTTTTGTCGGCACATTATGGTGGGGGGAAGGCGCCCCACCCAAGGCTCCCCTTCACGGCACATGCTTTAAGGAGGCTTCTTCTTAACTGCTGTTTCTACTCCAGAGGAGGGGCTTGGCTGCAGCCCCTGGCAGGTGCTCCTGTACCACATACACACACACTCCTTGGAAAGAGTGCATGTGTGGTGTGCAGGCCCAGAAAGTGCTCACATCTGCCAAGGCTTTTAGCTGAGCGCCTCTTAATCAGTAATGCAAAAAAAGCAGGCCAGGAGTTGGGACCTTCTATTGCTTGCTTTCGAGTTGTGAACTGATTTCCATAGCCCAGTGGTTCTCAACCTGTGGGTCCCCAGATGTTTTGGCTTTCAACTCTCAGAAATCCTAAGAGGTGGTAAACTGGCTGGGATTTCTGGGAGTTGTGGGCCAAAACACCTAGGGACCCACAGGTTGAGAACAACTTCCATAGCCTTCCATAGCAGGAGCGGCTTTCTTCTTCCGTGCTCATAGAATCATAGAATCATAGAGTTGGAAGAGACCTCATGGGCCATCCAGTCCAACCCCCTGCCAAGAAGCAGGAATATTGCATTCAAATCACCCCTGACAGATGGCCATCCAGCCTCTGTTTAAAAGCTTCCAAAGAAGGAGCCTCCACCACACTCCGGGGCAGAGAGTTCCACTGTTGAACGGCTCTCACAGTCAGGAAGTTCTTCCTCATGTTCAGATGGAATCTCCTCTCTTGTAGTTTGAAGCCATTGTTCCTTTGCGTCCTAGTCTCCAGGGAAGCAGAAAACAAGCTTGCTCCCTCCTCCCTGTGGCTTCCTCTCACATATTTATACATGGCTATCATATCTCCTCTCAGCCTTCTCTTCTTCAGGCTAAACATGCCCAGCTCCTTAAGCCGCTCCTCATAGGGCTTGTTCTCCAGACCCTTGATCATTTTAGTCCCCCTCCTCTGGACACATTCCAGCTTGTCAATATCTCTCTTGAATTGTGGTGCCCAGAATTGGGCACAATATTCCAGGTGTGGTCTAACCAAAGCGGAATAGAGGGGTAGCATGACTTCCCTGGATCTAGACACTATGCTCCTATTGATGCAGGCCAAAATCCCATTGGCTTTTTTTGCTGCCACATCACATTGTTGGCTCATGTTTAACTTGCTGTCCACAAGGACTCCAAGATCTTTTTCACATGTACGTGCTCCCGAAGAAACAAAAGACATGAAGGAAACGGGAGAATAAATTCCATGCACACCTGTAGTAAAATATTCTCTTCAAAATTCTAAATTATATCTGATTTTTTACATTCCAGATCTTTGAAGATATTTACCTTGAAAATAGAAAAACAATAAAAAATATACTGGAGTATGCGGATCTATTTTTTTTCTACATCTTTTTATTGGAGATGCTTCTGAAATTGGTAGCTTATGGATTCAGGTCATATTTCACCAATGGCTGGTGTTGTCTTGATTTCTTTATTGTATGTGTAAGTATTGCATGTAATGTGGTGCTTGCGTATAGTTTTCTTGTTCTGGTATGACTGTACCAGGAGCTCCTACTTTATTTGCTTTGTATTAAATGTTTGCTTGCAGTTCAAGTTTCAGGGACTCTGCAGATAGGTGGCTTCCTTTGGTTGCAGTCATAGGGCAAGTCACCTGTTCATCATCATTAAGTTTTGGTCCCACCCCTTGCTCAGGGCAATTGGGAAGGGAGCCATTTTTAGTTAGTCTCAGCAAGGAAAGCTAATGTACAGGACATGTGCAAGCTTCCCCTGTACAAAAGCTTCAACCCTTAAGACTTTCTGGGGGAAAGCAGTCTTAAGAGACTCCAAAGATTTCCAGGGAAACAGCCCTAAAGACCAAAGAACTCCAGCTGGAGAATATCTAAGCCTTTACTGGTAGGTCCACTTGGCGTTCGAGATGCAGTTTGACCCGGTAGCGGAGCCCACATCAGCAAGGGTTAGATTACAGTCAGCCGGGGAGAAGTTAAAAAGGGGATTTTCCTTTAAAGAAGAAGTTATTGAAGACAGTTGCCTGTCCTTTGTGGGCAAGATTAGGAATTTACCAGTTGCCTAAAAGCTTGGAATCATTTGCTTAACTTTACTGAAGACAAGAGAAGTTTCTGTTTGATTGTTCATTAATAAAAGACTTTGTTGTACTTCACAAGCCATCTAAAGACTATTTGTGGTAAAAACCTCTGAGAACTTCTCTTTGGGCCCCCTGGCTTCCCGCTGGGCAAAGGTTGCACATCCTGTTCTAAAGACAATTATTTACAGGCCCAGCGCGCGACAGAACATTTCTGCAGTAATTTCTAGTCAAAATCCATATAAAATTATTGACCTATAAGAGTGTTATTGAAAAAGGAAGGCAGTATATGTAGATGAGAATATGGGGAATTTCTCTCTCTAGTGTTCATAGGTTTTGCAATAAATCACAGGGATCCCTTGGTAAGCAGATCAGCATAGAAAGAGTTTCCTTACAACATTTGAAAACTCGGACTCCAGTTGTAAACAGTTGGTATCTTTCTTCAATATTTGCAGATTTCCTATCCTGTGACAACAGACAAGGGTATGTGCAACCCCACGATCTCCATAAAATCTCTCAGAACTTTGAGGGCCTTGAGACCACTTCGAGCATTGTCTAGATTTAAAGGGATAAAGGTATTGTTTTTCTACCTCTGCATGCTTTTAAGAATCAACAAGAAGCCCCTCATTTGCCCCTGATAACACTTCCTAGTGGGTGGGCAGAGCACATAGCTCCTTTGGAAAAAAGTAAACACTAGAATTTCTCATCAAGTGTGGAACTCATTGTTTTGTTTTTCTTAAGGAAACACCTAATCATAGGCTATCATTTGTGGCTGAGAATGATTGTCTTCCAAGTGTAGGGTCTTGGTAGTTGGTCTGTAGAAACTTGTTCTTGATCTGCATGTTCTTTCACAATGAGGACATTGATTTCTAGATGGAAGGCTGTCCCAACAAGGTTTGGCATAGCTTGACTCACCTTCCTCTTGACATGTTTCTCCCGTTCACTCTTCAGTCATGCCTCTTAAATCATGTTTCTACTCTTCATGATTGAGTAGAAAATTCCACAACACTGACAACAATCAATTAACATAAGACAACACTTACAAAACATCACAAAAAAACAACAATTATAAAATAGTAAATTAAAAGGAAGCAATAGCTACTAATTAAAATGGGCATTTGAACATCCCAGCCATAAAACAAGTTAAAAAATAATGTGAAAGAGCCAGAGTCAGTGTCAGTTTGTTTGGTCATCTATTTTATCTGGTGTCTTAAGCCCATCTTTCAATATCTTTTCCTGTCCACCTACATTCCATTTTCTGTTCTTGAGTTGAGAGTACAATAACTGCTTTGGGAGACAGTGATGAGGCATTTGAACAATGGGGCATTCGGTCCAACAAAGCTCATGGCGGAGGATCATCGCTTCAGTGTTGGTGGTCTTTGTGTCTTCCAACACGGTGACATTTGGAGGATTGTTCCAGAGATTTGTAGGATTGTTCCAGAAGTTGAGAGTGACGTTTGTAGATGCTTCAGGTATATAACAGTGTTGGGAGGACAATAGCTTTATAGACAAACATCTTGGTATCCCTACAAATGTCCTAATTCTCAAACACTCTCTGAAGATTATATCCACACTGTTCCTCTGGAAGGATGAAAAGTGTTCTGGAATTCCAGGAAAATTTGTTCTGAAATATGTAGAATGTGAATTGTAAGGATTCTTGTGAATATTTCCCAGCAGAGGTTAAAAGGGAGGTAACTCAATAGTTTCCATGGTGTCTTCTTTCTCCTTATTTGAAAAAGGTGGTTATGGTGGCATCTTTGAAGTCTGCTGGGATTTTCTTGGTTGCCCACACTTTTTCAATTAGGCAGTGAAGTTGTTGTGCCAGCTCAGGTCCACCCTCTTTAAAGATTTTAACAGAGATCCCAACATGTCTGCTGGCTTTGTTATTTTTTAATTGGCTGAGTTCCTCCAAACTAGGCAGTGCTGCAAACTCATCTCTGGTTTGTTGTTGCCTCTGAATTGGTGAGAGAACCTCTTAGGCCATATTGAAGCTGTGGTTAAGGAGGTTATGTTAGTGCTCTTTCCAACATAGTACAATTGATTTTTTTATCCCTCAGAGGTTTGGTTCCATCTGATAAACGTGGAGGGTGTCTGGTTCCTCCCATGTGGCCTTGCCTCCCTGGGAGCACATGACTCTTATGACTTTGATTGCAGGCTCACTGTAACACGCAAGCCCTCTCACCACAACAAGGTGACAATCCATCAAGGGGGAGTGTGCAGACACACCTGGAAAAGAATTTCCCACTGGAATTCTGATTGAGCTGACAGACAACCATGTTGTCTTCTTTCTCTCATCTTTTGTGTCAGACAAAGACAAGCTGCGCATTCATGAAAGAAATGCTGAGATGATCATTTGCCCAATCTTCCCTCTGAGTTGGGATTTAATGATAATAAAATATTTTTATTTGTTACCCACCTTTCTTTTTGGCTGTAAAATCACATATTAAAACATAGTTAAAATGCAACCATCAAAACATATATTTGTTGGGTTTCATTCTTGGATTGCACAAGTCTTTGTCTCATCAAGTTTCTGGTCCTCAGTGAGTAGCTAGACTAGAGGCAAGGCCAAGCTCAAGGATTCCTTTCCTCCCACATTCCTATGCATGTTTCCTAAAGTTTAAATTGTCCTGGGAAGAACATGCAATTTCCATCATTTTTAGTTCTACTTTTGTTTCTCCCAGTGAGAACGCATTTTGCCTCGTGGACTTTTTAAAAACTTTTTACCTTCTTTAGAAGACGAGATTTAGTAAGCTAGTTTGCTCCAAGACTTTTCTATCAAGAATGTATTTCTTTTTTACTTTAATAAATCTTTCGAACCTAAAGTTTGACTCTGCAATCCTCATCCATCCTGATGATTAGAGGGCTATTCCTGCTCACTACACTTTAGTTTCTGCTGGTAATTGAGTTTACTCCTGCTACTCTACTATATTTTCGTAGAATTACCCTAACTGAGGGTTATTTTTGAGCCCAACAGCTCAAATTCCCCAACAATATTAAAACATACACATATTAAAATACTTAAACATAAACTATCACAACAAAATCCATATGACATCCAGTAGATCATCAAGGCTCACTTGCAAAGCAAGGAATAATGTAATTGCTCATATTTATTATATTGCTTGGCTGTCAAATTGCTTGTTCTTGCAATTGTATACAGTGAATTTGCAATGTAGTATTTTTCACTTTTCTGTTTAAGGTGGTCGTGAACGCCCTCGTAGGAGCGATCCCTTCCATTGGGAATGTCCTCCTTGTCTGCATTGTTCTCTGGCTTCCGTTTAACATCCTCGGAGTACAACTGTTCAGAGGCAAATTTGGGAACTGCAGCTCATCTGTTCCGGATGTAAATAGGGCTGACTGTGTCAATGCACCGGTCAATTTTGACGATATTATGAAAGGATATTTGGCTCTCCTACAAGTGGTATGTTCAGTCGCAAATATATTCTCTAGCTGGAAAACAAGGCAGATATGAGAAGCAAAGGAAGGAAAATCTAAATATATGATAGTTAGCTAGATAGCATGATAGCATAACCCAAGTATAAAACAATCATTTGCTGCTGTAAGCTTGCAAAATGTGAATTATACCAAATTAATTTCTTGGATGTTATAAATCTATGTATCGCAAACCCTCCGGAATCTAGATGTGTTTATTTAATTGATGTATAGTTTGCCTTTCTCCCAATATGGGGCCCAAAGCAGATGAGAATTCAGTTTATACTGCCCTTATAATGCAGATTGAACTGGATTATATGGCAATGAAACTGCATTCCATGAGTCTACATATAATCCAGTTCAATTTGCATTGTGAGGGCAGTGTAGATGGGGCCCTTGCTGTGATCAGAAAGCACTCTTGTTGCAGGGCATAGTTAGAACATGTAATGTTCGTTTGTGGTAGTCACAGAACTCAAAACCCGGTGGGCGAATTGACACCAAATTTGGACACAAGACACCATTTAAGGCAATCTATGTCCTGCACTCAAAAAATTGATTTTGTCATTTGGGAGTTATAGTTGCTGGGATTTATAGTTCACCTACAATCACAGAGCATTCTGAACCCCACCAACGATGAAATTGAACCAAATTTGGCACACAGAACTCCCATGACCAACAGAAAATAGTGAAAGGGTTTGGTGGGCAGTGTCCTTTGGTTTTAGAGTTGTAGTTCACCTACATCCAGAGAGCACTGTGCACTCAAACAATGATGGATCTGGACCAAACTCTGCACGAAGACTCAATATGACCAAATGTGAACACTGGTGGAGTTTGGGGAAAATAGAATCTTGACATTTGGGAGTTGTAGTTGCTGGGATTTATAGTTCACTTACAATCACAGAGCATTCTGAACCCCACCAACGATAGAATTGGGCCAAACCTCCCACACAGAACCCCCATGTGGGCCACAGCAATGCGTGGCAGGGGACGGCTAGTATGTATCATAAGAATATGACATATTATAAGACAAACTTTATGTGATGGGTGGCTAGATTTGTCAGTGGTGTTTGTATATCTAATGGCTAATATCTAAGTTTCGCATAGCTAAATAGGGTTTTTATATACATATGGAGCAGAAGTGAATCTGCCCCTGATACCACTGCCCCATCAGATCTACTGTGATTCTTAGCATATAAATGAGGAAAAGTAGCAAGCCATATTCATTCTGTGACATAGAAGGATTTCTAGTGGGGAGAAAGCCGATGATGCAGTTACTGAATTTCACTTTTCCATCTTGACATTTGTTCCTCCCAATGTGAGACAAATTAGGTAAAAATCACTTTAATAACATGTTTTGTTTCTATGGATCTTTCTCCAGGCAACGTTTAAAGGCTGGATGGAAATCATGTATGCTGCAGTAGATGCACCCAGTGGTGTAAGCCATAAAGTGTTTTAACACATATTTTGGGGGATTTTTTGCATGTTTTATGGAAGAATCACACTTTATTTATTTATCGTGTCAGAACCAAATTGAGAATATGGTTATAATGCCTAGAAAAACCACAAACAAAGTTAAAAGCTTGGCATTGTACTAAATTTCCTTTGACCAGAATTTGGCCACTTGGAGTGCCTCTGGTGTCGCTGTAAGAAGGTCCTCCATTGTGCATGTGGCAGGGCTCAGGCTGCATTGTAGTAAGTGGTCTGTGGTTTGCTTTTCTCCACACGCGCATGTTGTGGACTCCACTTTGCAGCCCCATTTCTCTGGTATCAGCCACTGATTGAGGTTCCGTGTTTTAACCTGCCACTGATTAACAGAAGAATCACACTGATACATTATTTAGATGAAACAATATGTCACTTGATGGGCTCTTGAGTGACAAAATTAGTTTCATTACATTTGCACCAACTTTATATTGCTTGTAAAACTAAATTTCAGTAGACTACCCTTTTGTAGTTTGGCTGCCTTGGTGTTAAAAGCTGTGTCCCAACATTAGCATGCGTTAAAATTTAATCAAAATTGTTTAAGCAATGTGGCCAAAAAAATTTAAGAACTTATATACCCACATTGGCCATCACCCTTCATTTTGTGATTAAAGCTAAAGGATATTTATTCAACTAAGACCAATTTGGACACACTTTGTCTCCAAAGTCAGTCCACAGAAATATCCAAAGACAAGGTAACATGGATCCAAGGCAGGCGAACAATGCCACACATGAATGGAAAGCAAGGACAGCTTAGAAACGTGACTACATGAATTCCAAGAACACAGGCCCAAAAACCTGAGAATTGTTTATCTGAATGCAGTGTTGCTCTCACAAAGATTGTACCAGCAGAAATCACTTTAAAAAGTCCCCAAACCTCCCATGACATCATTTATCTCCAGAAATGTGGGAGATTAGTGTTTGTCTAGGTCAAGACAACTGGAGTTGAGGAGAAAGGGCATGCAAGAAAGACTCACTTTTCCGAGAGAATTAGAGATAAGGAGCGGAGAAGCAGATTCGAGAGAAATGATGTCATGGGAGGCTTTGGGGCTTTTTAAAGTGGTTCCTGCTGGTACAATCTTTGTGAGAGCAACACTGCATTCAGATAAACAAATCTCGGGTTTTTGGGCCTGTGTTCTTGGAATTCCTGTAGTCAAGTTTCTAAGCTGTTCTTGCTTCCCATTTATGTGTGGCATATTTTGCCTGCCTTGGATTCATGTTATCTTGTATTTGGATATCTCTGCTGACTTTGGAGACTTTATTTGAATGGACTTTTGGACTGTCAGGTTCTATGAAAATAGCCTTTTGAACTTTTGAATTTGCTTGCTTTTTATATACTCTGCTTTTAATAAACTTTTACTTATGGGATTACTTGGATAGTGTGTGGTTTGTGGTGAAAAGAGGCTTCAGGGCCCTAGTGCAACACTCGCCTCCTTAGTCCTAAGACCTAAAGAGGAGATTCCAGAAGATTCCCTTCCACCCTAAAGGGGTTCCCATATCCACAAAACTGTCAGTGACCAAAAACTGATCACAGACGATAGCCAAAACCAGTTTCCCAGCTCACAGTGTGAGGCAAGCAAAAGGCTCTTCAACAGGGAAAAAATCCTACATGGCCCCTAGGCAACCAGTTGGACTCACACTGCTGCAGCAGTAGGTGGATGGATCAACACCAAGACTGGAGAAACAAAGAGTGGGAGCTGCCTTCTTTAAACAGCCCGACCCCCGCTCAGGTGCCTACACCCAGCTCCCTCAGGTGGCATCACTCCCCTGTAGGCCAGTGGTTCTCAACTTGTGGGTCTCCAGGTGTTTTGGACCACAATCCCAGCCAGGTTACCAGCTGTTAGGATTTCTGGGAGTTGAAGGCCAAAACATCTGGAGATCCACAGGTTGAGAACCACTGCTGCAGGCCATCAAATAGGACTCCAGTTCAATGTGTTTGCGCCTCCAGAGCGGGATCCTGGCTGTATCAAATTAAGAATGAATATAAATTTCTTGGCTCTTTAATTATGCCTTTCTTTCTTTCTTTCTTTCTTTCTTTCTTTCTTTCTTTCTTTCTTTCTTTCTTTCTTTCTTTCTTTCTCTTTCAGAACCAGACAAGGCCATGTTTTGAAAACAATGTGTATGCCTACCTCTATTTTGTGGTCTTCATTGTATTTGGCTCATACTTCATGCTGAACCTATTCATTGGAGTCGTTATTGACAATTTTAACCAACAAAGGAAAAAGATACGTATGTCTCGAAAAGACATAAACATGTTACAGAATGTTTTGCTGCCGCAAAGTCTATCTGGCATATGGGTTAGGATTCGTGTTAAGTAGGTGTACAATACAGAGCTATAATATTTGCAGATGAAAATGACCTCATAGAGCAGTGGTTCTCAACATGGGGTCCCCAGATGTTTTTGGTCTCCAACTCCCAGAAATCCTAACAGCTGGTGAAGTGGCTGGGATTTCTGGGAGTTGTAGGCCAGAAACATCTGGGGACCCCAGGTTGAGAACCACTACCATAGAGCAAGGGTCCTCAAACTAAGCCCCAAGGGCCGGATACGGCCCTCCAAGGTCATTTCCCCGGCTCTCGCTCAGGGTCAACCTAAGTCTGAAATGACTTGAAAGCACACAACAACAACAACAACAATGCTATCTCATCAGCCAAAAGCAGACCCACACTTCCCACTGAAATACTAATAAGTTTATATTTGTTAAAATTGTTCTTCATTTTAATTATTGCATTGTTTTTAAGTGTTTTTGCACTATAAATAAGATATGTGCACTTTGCATAGGAATTCATTCATGTTTTTTTCAAATTATAATTCGGCCCTCCAACAGTTTGAGGGACTGTGACCTGGCCCTCTGTTTAAAAAGTTTGAAGACCCCTGCCATAGAGAATGTGATTCTTGAAATCTCAGTAGTCAAGCCCTGATTATATTTACTTAAATAAGAGTCCAGTCTTAAAAGCAACAGGATGAAGACTAAGTGGAAGCGCCCCTGTGTAGCTTTCACCAGGCATGAGAAAATCCTCCACATTTGTTTGGGTTAGGGGCAGCTTGAGGGAACACTACTCTTGGAATCTCTATGTACGTTGTCTCAACAGCATTATAGATTGGAAGGCTCCTGCTGCTGAATTCTGGGAAATGAAGTTTGGGCAAGTTGAGGACCTCTCCAACTGAGAATTCCAAAGGATTTGTTCTGAACTACATTTTCCAGAATTCTGCAGGAGTAGATCAGATGACTGGAAGACAAAAGCCTCAGTTCTATAATGCTGGTTTGGAAAGTGTTCTGCATCCTCCACTGTGACTCTGTAGACAACCTCTGGGACTGGAGGACTTGGATATTCTAGAGAGACCATATCAATCAAGTCCACTAAAGTTAAACCAGATCTGGATTTATTTCCCCACTGAAATATTTATTCATTTATCATATCAGAAGCAAACCGAGGGTGCAGTTGTAATGTATTTAAAAACACAAGAGTTTTTTAAACTTGGCATTATACTAAATGTCCTTTGACCAGTAGCTGGCAACTTGGAGTGCCCCTGGTGTTGCTATGAGAAGGTCCTCCATTGTGCATGTGGCAGGGCTCAGGTGGCATTGTAATAGGTGGTCTGTGGTTTTTCTTCTCCACACTTCCATGTTGCGGACTCTACTTTGTGGCCCTATTTCTTAAGGTTGGTTCTGCATCTTGTGATGCCAGAGCTCAGTCTGTTCAGCACCTTCCAAGTCACCCAGTCTTCTGAGTGCCCAAGGGGGAGTCTCTCATTCGGTATCTGTAATGGCTTGAGGTTCCGGGTTTTAGCCTGCCACTTTTGGACTCTTTCTTGCTGAGATGTTCCTGAAAATATCTCTGTAGATCTTAGAAAACTATTTCTTGATTTAATGTGCTTAATATTAGAGACATTAATGATCTTCCTCCAGTCACATTGTCTTAGAATTGCCTTGAGAGTAAGGTGGAGAAGAGAAGAGCCATGTTCAATACCTTGAGTTCTTTGTAGAACAAAAGATGCGGTTTAAATGTTATCGATACATTAAATAATTGTTGTTGTTCATTCGTTCAGTCGTCTCCGACTCTTCGTGACCTCATGGACCAGCCCACGCCAGAGCTCCCTGTCGGCCGTTACCACCCCCAGCTCCCTCAAGGTCAGTCCAGTCACTTCAAGGATGCCATCCATCCATCTTGCCCTTGGTCAGCCCCTCTTCCTTTTGCCTTCCACTTTCCCCAGCATAATTGTCTTCTCTAGGCTTTGCTGTCTCCTCATGATGTGGCCAAAGTACTTCCACTTTGTCTCTAGTATCCTTCCCTCCAATGAGCAGTCGGGCTTTATTTCCTGGAGGATGGACTGGTTGGATCTTCTCGCAGTCCAAGGCACTCTCAGCACTTTCCTCCAACACCACAGCTCAAAAGCATCGATCTTCCTTCGCTCAGCCTTCCCTAAGGTCCAGCTCTCACATCCGTATGTGACTACAGGGAATACCATGGCTTTGACTAGGCGGATCTTTGTTGCCAGTCTGAGGTCTCTACTCTTTACTATTTTATCGAGATTGGACATTGCTCTCCTCCCAAGAAGTAAGCGTCTTCTGATTTCCTGGCCACAGTCTGCATCTGCAGTAATCTTTGCACCTAGAAATACAAAGTCTGTCACGGCCTCCACATTTTCTCCCTCTATTTTCCAGTTGTCAATCATTCTTGTTGCCATAATCTTGGTTTTTTTTGACATTTAGCTGCAACCCAGCTTTTGCGCTTTCTTCTTTCACCTTGATTAGAAGGCTCCTCAGCTCCTCCTCGCTTTCGGCCATCAGAGTGGTGTCATCTGCATATCTGAGGTATGCATATCTGCATATCCAGCAATTTTCACCCCAGCTTTGTATTCATCAAGCCCCGCACATCGCATGATGTGTTCTGCATACAAGTTAAAAAGGTTGGGTGAGAGGATGCAGCCTTGCCGTACGCCTTTCCCAACATTAAATAATAAGTAGGCGTTATGTTAGAGACAATTACATTCAAAAATGGTAATATTAGAAAGATTGTAGAGAAACCTTTCAATTTTCTATAATATAGTACTTAATTGGTTTGCAATAAATTGGGTTTTTGCCCATCTCTTTTATGCAGTATTTTCAGGCAAGAAAATATGTGAAATTTAATAAAAGTGTTGTCTTCTTTTACCTAGGTGGAGAACTCATATTTTTGTCAGACGATCAGAAGAAATATTATAATGCACTGAAGAAACTTGGTTCCAAAAAACCAGTTAAAGTTGTTCCAAGGCCACAGGTGAGAGTAGCAGGCAGAAATGGATGCCTTTCTTAATATCTGACATAGAAAGACTATTCAAAACATGTACTAAAACAAACAGTTTATTAGCCAATATGGACAATATTATACTGGATGAAAGATTCTGGGATTTCTTTTCTAAAAAGCGATGTTTACTTAAATCAATGAATAGTATAAGAGACTTTCTGGTCACCTCAGTCCAGATAACTTTGCATTGAAAGTTGCCACAGTATCTTCCCTCCGCTGCTCCAAATTCTTGACTCCTAGCTTGTCAGCTAATCCTATAATAAGTCTGTCTGTTTCCAAGGTACCTGATAAATCTGACTCTGAAATCATTCTTGGAAACCAGAACATCTGACAAGAGAGTGTGTTCCTTAGTTCATTTATTTTATTTATTTACGACATTTATATGCCGCCCCTCTCACCCTGAAGGGGACTCAGAACAGCTTACAAGTCATAAGGACATAAAACACACTATATTATTAGCATAGTACTAATACATCAGCTCTAGCAGCCTCCTCCTCCTGAGAAAAATGTATAATATCACAAAGGACTACCACCTCACCCGCCTCATAGGAAACCTGCAACAAAACAGGAGCTTTTTTGTTGAGTTTCAGGACCAGAGAAGCAGATGGCGGAAACAGAAGAACGGCCTGCCTCAGAGAAGCATGCTTGCTCCATCCATGCTCAACATCTACACAAATGACCAGCCACTGCCAGAAGGGACAGAGAGTTTCATCTATGCTGATGACTGCTCAAGCAAGTGCCATTACTGCTCAAGCAAGGAGCTTTGAGATGGGTAGAACAGAAGCTTTCCAAAGCTCTAGGTGCTCTTACTGCCTATTACAGGGAAAACCAGCTGATCCCCAACTCATCTAAAACACAGACATGTGCCTTTCATCTCAAGAACAGAGAAGCATCCCGAGCTCTGAAGATCACCTGGGAAGGAATCCCAGTGGAGCATTGCAGCGCACCCAAATACCTGGGAGTCACTCTGGACCCGTGCTCTTACCTACAAGAAGCACTGCCTGAACATCAAGCAAAAAGTGGGTGCTAGAAACAATATCATACAAAAGCTGACTGGCACAATCTGGGGATTACAACCAGACACAGTGAAGACATCTGCCCTTGCGCTATGCTACTCTGCTGCTGAGTATGCATGCCCAGTGTGGAACACATCTCACCACACTAAAACAATGGATGTGGCTCTAATTTGGGGTGTCTGCGCCCTACACCACTGGAGAAATTACACTGCTTAGCCGGTATTGCGCCACCTGACATCCACCAGGAAGTAGCAGCCAATAGTGAAAGGACCAAGGCAGAGACATCTCCTGCTCATCCCTTGTTTGGGCATTAGCCAGCACGCCAATGACTTAAATCAAGAAATAGTTTTCTAAGATCTACAGGGACACTTGCTGGAACACCTCAGCAAGCGAGTCCAAAAGTGGCAGGCTCAAACCCAGAGCCTCAATCAATGGCTGATACCCAATGAGAGACTCCCCCCTGGGCACACAGAAAACTGGGTGACTTGGAAGGCACTGAACAGACTGTGCTCTGGCACCATGAGGTGCAGAGCCAATCTTAAGAAATGGGGCTACAAAATGGAATCCATGACATGCGAGTGTGGAGAAGAGCAAACCACTGACCACCTGCTGCAATGCAACCTGAGCCCTGCCACATGCACAATGGAGGAACTTCTTGCGGCAACACCAGAGGCACTCCAAGTGGCCAGATACTGGTCAAAGGACATTTAATCAACTACCAAGCTTGCAAACTCTGTGTCTTCTGTATGTTTGTTTGTTTGTTCTGTCAAAAATGTAATACAACTGTTCAGTTGCCTGACATGATAAATAAATAAATAAATAAAATAAACTAATACATCATTCATTTGAAGCACCATTAGGATACTAGAGTATAAAGTGAACCTTAATTTGCCTTAAGACACTCTTTTGTGTCATATTAGAGTTCAAGGTCAAGACCAGCAGTGGGCAGCTTGAGAGATTTTAGATCTTTTTGGTCTCTGACACCAACCCTAGCCAGTGTAGTCAGTAACTAGGAATGATGGGATTTGACATCTAACTACAACTGGAGAGGTACAGGTTGTCCAGTTCTGCTGTAGCATTACATCTGTGCAAAACCTTCTCACACTATCTCTGATGTTGGTGCCAACATGCCCATGAACTTTGTTCCTAAAACATAGCAGTCTGTAGAAGCAGAGTAACACAGCAATCTGCAGTCCCAGGACCCAAGTCAAGAGTAAAGGCAGCAACAAAGTCCCAAGCACGAATACAACACTTTGCCTACTGCAAAGTTCCCAATGTTTGATACCTTCTTTTATCCTATAACTCATTATCGGATGATGAACTGCTCTCCACCCTGCCTTCATCACTCTCAGCTGCCTTAGCTTCCACAGCTGCTCGCCACTGCCTGTCCCTCCAACATTTCCAGCGTCTATCAAGACTTAGATCACCCCATGTATTACCAGGTTGCCAATCTCCAGAAAACCCTTCAAACTCATCACTAGATGTTGGTTGTGTACATATGTCCCTGATCTCTTGCACACGGGTCCAATCCAGCCCATCGTCTTCTTCGTTATCACTCCCAGTCCCATCATTCCCCGAGAATCCCATAAAGTCCTCCTCCTCTGTTGGAGCATTAAGTATTTCATGGTTCCGCTTCCTTTCTCATTCCTCATCTGACTCTTGCTCCTGAGTAACCCGCTTCAAGCCTCTGCCCACATCTCCCTCCTCCTCCATTTCAGAATCTGAGAAACCTTGAAACGAATCAGTATTTGTAGGTGTCATGAATATCTCCCTAATTCGTTTCCTTTGCTGCTCTTGCTCCAACACCTGAGCAGCCCTCTTACCCCTTCTACTACCAGTTGTAGCTTGACCAGCACACTACTACAACACCCACTGTACCTTCACATCAACACCTCATTTCAGGAAAACTACTTCCCAGTTCTAAATATTATGATCAAGCAAACACTTGTTCATGCTTGAGAGAATAATCCAGTTCTCAGCCAAAAAAGTCCCTAAATCAACAAGCTTACTTTTTCATAAACAGCCATCCAAGTTAGCTCAAAAATAAGAGAGGGGGTGGGTGAGAAATTATTGGGGAACACAAAGAATTGTCTCTTACTTCTACATTTTTGTATCATCCTAATAAAGCCACACACTTCCTTTTCCCCCTTTCACAGAACAAGTTCCAAGGACTACTTTATGATGTTGTAACCAAGCAAGGATTTGACATTTTCATTATAAGTCTCATCCTGTTGAACGTGGTGATTATGGCAGTAGAATATGAAGACCAACCAGAGGATGCAAGGAAACTCCTTGAAAAATTAAATTCTGTCTTTGTTGCTATTTTTACTGGAGAATGCGTTATGAAAATGTTGGCTTTGAGGCTGTTTTACTTTAAAGACAACTGGAACATCTTTGATTTTGCAGTGGTGATTCTTTCTTTAGTTAGTAAGTACAAAACCTCTCATCTTTAACAGTATTTTGCCATCACTGGGCAGATGCAAAGTGAGACTGTGTCTTGCATAGTAAAATCCCATATTTGAAGCTCTCATGCTCTAAGAGAAAAAACTGAAAATATGAGTCAAAGTTTCTACTTAACACTCAATAAAGAGGGCACTGCTACACGTTTAGAGCCCTGGTAGCACAGCGGGCTAAACTGCTGAGCTGCTAAACTTGCTGACTGAAAAGTTGGCATTTCAAATCCTGGTGAGCTCCCGCTATTAGCTCCGGCTTCTGCTAACTTAGCAGTTTGAAAACATGCAAATGCTAGTAGATCAATAGGTACAGCTCCGGCGGGAAGCTAATGGCGCTTCATGCAGGCATGCTGGCCACATGAATTTGGAGGTGTCTACTAACAATGCCGGCTCTTCTCCTTAGAAATGGAGATGAGCACCAACCCCCAGAGTCGGACATGAATAGACTTAATGGCAGGGGAAACCTTTACCTTTACTTACTATTTGTTTTATGGCAGGAATTTCCCCCAGGAATTGAAAAATGAATTAGTTGGGTTGATAATATGCTAGATTTAAAGATATATATTTGTTTAGCATAAAGTAAACACTAAATTCCATAGTGTCCTTACTGAGATTTTGGGCGACTGATGGCTTATAGGGAAAGGACTTGTAATAATGTTTGCTCTCACATACATATGTTGCTGGATAATTTTAAATGGCTTTAACTCTATTGATAGTTTAATTATACTTAAAGGACAATAACAAAAACTGATATTGGAAATGATACAACAACAACAATAAGAGCAGCAACAATAATAATTGTTGTTGTTCAATTATTACAAATTAAGGTACAGTGTATTTGGGGAAACAAAACAACTGTGGTCCCAGAGGTTTGTTTGTTTGTTTATTTATTTACAGCTTTTATATTCCGCCCTTCTCACCCCGCAGGGGACTCAGGGCGGATTACAGTGTACACATATATGGCAAACATTCAATGCCAATTTTGACATACAACATATACAGACATACACAGAGGCTATTTAACTTTTTCTGGCCGCCAGGGGAGCTGTCGCTTTCATCGTCCATCTGCGACACTGATGAAGTACTTCCGCATTCCCCGCATGCTTTTTGCTGGAGTGCTTTGCTGGAGTCTTTTTTTATGGCCTCATAAATTAGTTAATTTAGCCTCCCCACACTTTAAGGTGGTACCTAATTTTCCTACTTGACAGATGCAACTGTCTTTGGGTTGCAAAGGTCGACAACAGGCTACACAATTGGTTGGAAACCCACTCCAACCCGGGCTGGCTTGGAACTCATGACCTTTTGGTCAGAGTGATCTTAATGCAGCTGACACTCAGCCAGCTGCGCCACAATCCCGGTGCGAGCAGGGGTTTATTTATTTATTTAACTATTTATTTATTTATTTCGAGTACCTCTACCCCGCCCTTCTCAACCCCCGAGGAGGGACTCAGGGCGGCTTACAGAAAGGCACAATTCGATGCCTACACAACATACACATAACATATAAAACCATAGTTAAAACAATTATCACAGTTAAAAACAATCAGTATATAACACATCAATAAAACTATGCTCATGCTCAGCGTTCGTCTTTCAGAGTTCCATAATTCCATTCCATTAGTCAATTCCTGTCCCTTGTCAAAGTCCTTTCTTTATCTGCCATATTGTCCGAATGCCTGGTCCCAAATTCATGTTTTCAGTTTTTTCCTGAAGGAAAGGAGTGATGTCGCTGATCTAATTTCCCCGGGGAGTGAATTCCACAGGTGGGGGGCCACCACCGAGAAGGCCCTGCTCCTCGTCCCCGCCAATCTCACTTGTGATAGAGGCAGGGTCAGTTCCAGACAGACTTACAGAACGTCTACATGAAACTTTCATAGACAGGATCAGAATGTCACAAAAAATGGCACTATTTGAAGCATGCCATTATAGCCACTGCTGCCTCACTAGTTCCTAGATTCTTGGAATTGAATCCAAAACTCCAGATAATAACACGTGCTGTGCAGTACTGTGGAAATGAGGTGATTATAGTTGGTAATTGGCTTTGAAATAAATATGTGTGCGTATGTGTTAAAACAGGTGTTGCAGCTACAGAATCTTGGAATAGTCTTGATTTCCCACCCACGATCCTGAGAATCATTCGCATGGCCCGGGTCAGCCGGCTGCTGAGGCTCATTCGAGGGGCCCGGGGGCTCCGGACCCTCCTTTTTGCACTCCTGATGTCCCTTCCTGCTCTTGCCAACATTGGGCTCCTCCTTTTTCTGATCATGTTCATTTACGCTATTTTTGGCATGAGCAACTTCGCCTGTGCCAGTTGGAAGGGCGGCATTGACAACATTTTCAACTTCCAGACTTTTGGTGGCAGCATGCTTTGCCTCTTTGAAATCACAACGTCTGCTGGCTGGCATGGATTTCTCAACCCAATGCTCGACAACCGTAGTAACAATATTTGCGCTGGCTCCACACAGCAAACAGGCCCTTGTATTAACCGGACTGTGGCAATTACATATTTTGTTAGTTATGTCATTATATCATTTCTTATTGTTGTTAATATGTACATTGCTGTCATCATAGAGAACTTGAACGTCGCCACCGAAGAAAGCACAGACCCTTTGGGTGATGATGATTTTGAAATTTTCTATGAAGTTTGGGCAAAATTTGATCCAAAAGCAACCCAGTTTATTTCTTATTCAATGCTTTCAGACTTTGCAAATGCTCTGGAAGAACCATTGCGCGTTCCCAAACCAAACAGCCAACAGCTGATGGCAATGGACCTCCCGATGGTTAATGGAAATAAGGTCCACTGCCTGGACATTTTGTTTGCTTTTACCAAAAGGGTGTTGGGAGAAGCTGGAGAAATGGATGTCCTGGAGTCCCAGATAGAGGAAAAATATCCAGAGATGATTGCCTACGAACCCATAGTAACAACTCCCAAGCGGAAACATGAGGAGAGTGCTATTGTTATCCAGAGGGCTTTCAGGAAACATCTCCTTCACCTTGCAACACAAACAACCTTCCTGGAGGACAGCGTGGGAAGCCCCTTGGAGGACATACCTGAAGAGGAAGATGGCTTCGTTGTCATGATAAGCAAAGGTGAAAGTGAAAAAGAAGACAGCCAGTCAGATGATTCCCACAGCTCAGCCTCTCTAGCCATTCCTCCATCATATAGTAATGTCATAGCTGGAGACATTCCTGTGGTGAAGATTAAGGATCATAGTGATGATGATACCCAGTGATTTACAGTTTGCTGGTGTCTTGCCACAGCTGGATTTTCTCAGAAATGTTATCATGTATTTGCCACTATTGTCACCTTAATTGAACTGTTCACTCTGCAATGCTTCCATTGTCAAGTGTTATCAGAAGAAGTAAAAAATGTATTGTCGAAGGCTTTCATGGCCGGAATCACTGGGTTGTTGTAGGTTTTTTCGAGCTATATGGCCATGGTCCAGAGGCATTCTCGCCTGACGTTTTGCCTGCATCTATGGCAAGCACTACCTCTGAGGATGCTTTCCATAGATGCAGGCGAAACGTCAGGAGAGAATGCCTCTAGACCATGGCCATATAGCCCGAAAAAACCTACAACAACCCAGAAGTAAAAAAAAATTCCAACCAGGGGGTCATATGTAATAGTTAAAGTATTATGTGTTGATAGTGGGTTTGTACTACTGTGAGCATCCAATAATCCAATAAAGTTGGTGGTACAGAGACATAAATGGATGCTAAGAGTGGCTGTTGAGGACTTTCGTCATCCCACAGTACACTGATGTCCATCATCCCTTTATCTCTCAGTGGTACACTGGTCAACTCATGCATGCAATAGATACAAATAAAGATCTTGCAATCTGCTAGAAAGCTGAGGAACGGATCATCTAAATGCTAAGTGTATAACTTCACCTACAGGCGAGGTCTATCATAACGCCTCGATGGCTTATATCTATTCATATAATACACTACCTGGACTCAAGTCTCATGCAGCATTGAATCTCAATGGGGAGCTCCTGAAGCATCTTCCCCTTAAGCCAGTGGTTCTCAACCTGGGGTCCCCAGATGTTTTTGGCCTTCAACTCCCAGAAATCTTAACAGCTAGTAAGCTGACTGGGATTTCTGGGAGTTGTAGGCCAAAAACATCTGGGGACCCCAGGTTGAGAACCACTGCCTTAAGCAGTCCTCTGCTTGTTCAGATGTGTAGGATATGCAGGATCCTAACCTTTATGTGAAAAGCAGAGGAGAAAGGAGATTTGCATGGTTTCCAAAATAGGGACTCTGGAATGATAGAAGTGAGGAAGCTAAAGAGATGCATAATCAATACAGGTTGAGTACCTCTTAACTGGAATCCCTAAATTCTTCAAAATCCAAAATTCCCCACTCGGATGACACCTCTTTGCTTTCTGATGGTTCAGTGTACACAAATTCTATTTCATGCACTGAATAATTAAAAATGTTGTATAAAATAGTCTTTAGGCTATGTGTATAAATGTATATGAAACATACAATTTAATGTTTAGATTTGGATCCCATCTCCAAAAGATCTCATTATGTACATATATGCAAATATGGATATGCAGAGGACACGCAAAGATGCAGTTTGGCAAGGGACGAGCACTCATTGATAGAGAAGGCAAGAGACCTTGTAGAACAATGGTTCTCAACCTGTGGGTCCCCAGATATTTTGGCCTTCAACTCCCAGAAATCCTAACAGCTGGTAAACTGGCAGGGATTCTGGGAGTTGTAGGTCAAAACACCTGGGGACCCACAGGTTGAAAGCCACGGTTGCAGAACCACAACTCCCGAGATTCCATAGCATTGAACCATGGCAGTTAAAGTGGTGTCAAACTGCATTCAGTGCAAATGCACCTGAACTTACATACTTGTGGTGCTAATCCCCAATACCTGATTTACCTATGGAGGTGTACCTCTAAGAAGTGCATTTTTGATAGAGGTATGGGACCACCTGGTAGGAAGGACTCAAAATGGAAAATGCAGTGTTGAACTGCATTCAGTGCAGATAAACCTGAAATTATACACTTGCAACTGTCCTCTGTTTGTTCAGATGTATCTTCTGGAGCCAGGGAAAGAGCCCAGTTTCCAGAACAGCTGAACCTGAGGCACATGGTTGATGTATTATTACTATTGCTGTTACTGGTGTAACTTGCATCAGTACTCATCTCTGCAAAAGCTGGCCTCCTTATTGCTCAAACTAGCTAACCACCTCCTTGGAAGCATTTGCAGTTGTCAAGGAGTATCACCTGACATGCCTTCTAGTTTTTGCTTAGCATTGCTTGTTCCTTTCCTTTGCCAGATCTCATTGGGGATACATAGACTGAACCCAGATGTGGCATCCAGATCACCAATTCAGAGTCTGTTGTGGGTTTAAGACCGAGTTTTGGCACAGAGTATTTTTTCAAAGCAATGTCTGTACCATATGGTGAGGCATCTGGATTACAAGAAATGCCTTCTCAGAAAGCAAATTAGATTTTGGTTCTTCTATAACATGGACTTTGTTTATATCTAAAAATGGAAATAGTCATTTCATCCTTTATACAACATAGGCTGTGAGAGTAAATATAACTTGTATAAAACAATCAAATTATTGTGTTTCCCTGGAACTTGGCTGCATAACTTCAAGAAATAGTTTTCTTTAACTAGTGATGGTGATTGTGGATTTTCAGATACGATTGTGGATTTTCAGATACCGTTGGACTGCAACTCCCATCAATCCAAGTCAGCATAGTCAAGGATAAAGAATGACATAAATAGTTGTCTAATGTCATTTAGAGTGACACATTTCTCCACCCTTTGCTTTCCTCTTTGTGATGTACCCATTCATACTGCTTAAGTCAACCAATTAAATGTACCTGCTTTATCGATGTTACATGAATAGTATTTCACAAACTGTAATACTTCAATAAAAATGGATTTGGGAATTTGATTGCTGTTTTAATAGAAATGAGTTGGGGAACTGGGATGTCTATTCAAGTAGCTAATTGTAGAATGGCCCAGTTTATCTTTCTCTAAGCCAGTGTTTCTCAACCTGGGGGTTGGGACCCCTGGGAGGGGGGTCATGAGGGGGATTTCAGAGGAGTTGCCAAAGACTATCGGAAAAAACAGATTTCTGATGGTCTTAGGAACCCCATTGGCAGAGAAGGCTGATCTCTCCATCTGTCCTCTTCCTTTTCGGTGTTGGTGAACTACAACTTCCAGAATTCAAAAACAGCGTCCCCAACCCCACCAGTATTCATTGTTGGCCATGTAGTGTGCCAAGTTTGGTGCAGATCCATTGTGAGCTGGGTTCAGAGTGCTCTTTGATTGGAGGTTAACTATAAATCCTAGCTATTACAACTCCCAAATGTCAACTCCCAAACTCCACCAGTGTTCATTTTTGGGCATATTGAGTATTCATACCAAAATTTGTTCCAAATCCATCATTGTGCTCTCTGGAGGTTGGTGAACTACAACTCCAAAAGGTGGAGTTCAGAATGCTCTTTGATTGCAGGTGAACTATAAATCCCAGAAACGACAACTCCCAAATGACAAAATTAAGCCCCCTCAACCCCACCAGTATTTGGGATATAGGGCATTTGTTCCAAATTTGGTCCTGCATATCAGATATTTACATTAGGATTCATGACAGTAGCAAAATTACAATTATGAAGTAGCAATGAAAATAATGTTATGGTTGGGGGTCAGCACAACATGAGGAACTGTATTAAGGGGTCGTGGTATTAGGAAGGTTGAGAACCACTGTTCTAATCATTCTGTCCAGAAACAGGAGTGTCAGTATCTGGATAAGCTTTCTTGAGAACCCAGGCCAGAGACCCTAGAATGGGTCCTTCAAGTCTACACTTTCCACCAAGAGCTCATGAACTACAAGCTAGAAGGAGAAGGTAGGTGGGAAGACTAACACTACTGCTAAGATACTTCTATACAGATAAAAGAAGCAGCTGTCTAGAAGGTAGATATGCCAAGAAACAACAAGATGGGAAAACTCTGCTGCTTTTGGGATGCTCTCTGTTTTCTTGGGACTGGTGCCAGCTATCTTTGGTGACATCTCCCTGCCCTCACCTGTGTGGCTGTCTAACTCCTTTAGGTGGCAGCAGCTTCTAAGGTTTTGTACTTCAAAAAACCCTAAAGCTGTGTCCTATATATGTGGCTTTACCCAAAAGGATTTGTGGAGGATAGGGCTATACCATGAAAATGATGCTTAAAATATGTAGTCTTTGCAATTATTTCTCCATGAAAATGATATATTGCCCTCCCTTCTTGGAAGGTAGTTCCAAATATTGTGTTTTACTGATGAAAATACTTACAAAGAAGGAAAAAACAAACAAAATAAAAGCTAAGCCAAGCCATGGGTAATACTCAGATGGGAATACCATGTGCTATAGGGTCTGAATTTAGACAAAGAATATACATTTGAATAAATTGGATATACTTCTGAAATCATTTTCATTGACTGATTAGCTCCAGTCAAATTTTTGTTACCTGCAACAGGTCCCACTTGGAAGAAAGGGGAGATACCAATTTATTCATCCATCCACCATATTTTTGAATTACTAGATGGATCAGGACTACTTTTAAGGGGAGCCTAGAAGAAAGTGTGTTGCAATAGACTAAATCTGTTGATATATAAGTTAAGTAATAGATATCAATAGGCCCCCCGGTGGTGCAGCGAGTTAAACCACTGAGCTGCTGAACTTGCTGACCGAAAGGTTGGCAGTTCAAATCCAGGAGTGGGGTGAGCTTCTGCTGTTAGCTCCAGCTTCTGCCAATCTAGCAGTTTGAAAAAAATGCAAATGTGAGTAAATCAATAGGTACCGCTTCTGTGTGAAGGTAACAGCACTCCATGCAGTCATGACATTGGAGGTGTCTATGGATAATGTCAACTCTTTGGCTTAGGAATAGGGATGACCACCATGCCCCCAGAGTCAGATATGACTAGACTTAATGTCAGGGGAAACCTTTACTTTTACCTATATATATATATATAGTTCAGTGGTTCCCAACCTTTTGTTGACCAAGGACCACTTTGCACTGGTACCACTTGTCCAGGGACCAATTTGACCAGGGACCACTTGACCAGGGACCACTTTGACCAGGGACCACTTTGATTGGGGACCACTTGACCAGGTACCACTTTGACCAGGGATCATTTGACCAGGGATTACTTGACCAGGGATAACTTGACCAGGGACCACTTTGACCAGGGACCACTTTGACCAGGGACCACTTGACCAGT